GTTTCGGCTTCGGGCGGATAGGGCTAATACAAGGACCTCCATGATATCAGAAAAGGGTACTGGGGTAAATTAAAGTAGGGTATACCCAGAGGCCCCATAGTAGTTCCTTTTTGGGATGACCCTATGGGATTCAAAATATGACCCCAAAGAAGGAACTACTATGGAGCCTTAGGGTAGTTATCTGGCAGGCCACCCGAAACCCTAAACCCTCAACCCTAAACCCTCAACCCTAAACCCTAAACCCTCAACCCTAAACCCTCAACCCTAAACCCTAAACCCTCAACCCTAAACCGACCCTAAACCCTAAACCCTCAACCCTAAACCCTCAACCCTAAACCCTATACCCTCAACCCTAAACCCCTCAACCCTAAACCCTGAACCCTCAACCCTAAATCCTAAACCCTCAACCCTAAACCAGGGTTTTAACGATGACCATGTCGGTAGATCCCCAGCTCCAGGCAAAGAACTGACGATATGTCAGTACCTTAGGGGTTCCTTTAAAGGGTTACTATAAGGGTACTATAAGAGTTCCTTGTTTAAAGGGCTCTATATAACGGTTTAGAGTTTCCGAAAATTGGGGGTACCTTGTTTTTGTTCCTCATGAGGATCCTACTATACAGGCTGCTATATTAAGGTCCTCTATCTTTGGAAACTCCCATTTGGCTGCATTCCTAGCTGTTCATACGGACACCAAGACAAAGTACCACCGTGTTAAGAAACGCACAGTTCTTTTCTGTAGTAGTGAGCCCCTAAAACGTTGACATGTAAAATGGTGTACATCAACCCCCTGACTCAGAAACCACCATCTCTTAATGAGGATTGTCATCAGGATTGCAATATCAACAGCCTTGCAGGCCTGCAATTCATCAAGCCAAGCTTCCGAAAAGAAGAGGTACCTTATTCTGGGGTAATTATAATAAGCACCCTACTAGTTAGGGTACTATATTAGGTAGGGTCCCCCATTTTCTGAAACTACTTTATCTTCAACATTGTATAAAGCCATACAAAACGCTCATGGCACGAGCTTTTCAGGATCCAAAGGAACACCCAAAGGGGTTTGCCATAACAAGGCCCGCCAGGTCCCCTGTTGCACGTTTTCTTCAGGCGCCTTGAATGACAACTCGCAAAAAAGCACTGGCGAATATTCAAGCCCCTATACTACAGGCTTCGTAGTCCATGTGTAACCGCATGTCTAGGCTTAGGGGCTTAAGGCTCAAGGTTTAGCATTGCTGGCTCTAGGGTTTAGGCGTAGCCCCAAACGCTTGAACCCGCAAACCCTGAATCCTCAAAGCCACATGACTCTCCGATCCAGCCTCCAGCCAGCAACCCAACCCTAACAAACACTTACAACCAATATCGAGTCCAGGCACTACGCTCCAAGGAAGCAAGCCCTAGACATCTATTTCAGATCAAGGCACCAGTGTTTAAACCGCCCTTCACGGCGTGTGATACCGCTTCTGCGACTTTGGCTTGCTGCTGGGCGCATCTTTTTAGGATTTGGTGCTTCCAGGATTCCCCCTCATAGCCTTGGCCCTAAAGCCCTAAACCCGGATGTCTAAGGCTGGGGTTTACATCTGGGCTTCATGGTTTCAGGCTACATGGCATCAGGACACGATGTCTTTCGGGTATCTCTCTTCTAAGGCCCTGAAAAGGCGTGGAAGCTTTAGGTCAATCGGGCCAAGGGTTGAACGCTCAGTTTAGACCGCTGAACAATGAGTCCCTGCTTGGTAAGGGTTCAGAAAAAGTCGAAACCTGTTATGATCGGGAGTCCGGTAGTGACATTAAGCGACACATAAGCCCCTTCACCCCAGATCCGAAACCCTCAACAGCCATGCTTCTGCATGACGGTCTGACTGTTTTGGCGAACTCCATGCTAATACTCGACAGGAAGCAGGTTATGGTACATAAAGGTACAAGTAGCCACCATCCCCGAAATCTTAAACCCCTGGAGTTTAGGGGTTTAGGGTTTAAGGGTTTACGTAGGGTCTGGCAGCCTGTGCTGGCCTAGCTGTAACTGTCTGGTGCTGAATAGGGAAGCCAGGGACGATCATAGGGATCCATTCCCCATTCCCTACTAAGAACCAGACAGATAAACCTAAAACCCTGAAGTGCCAAAGCAGCAGCCAGAAGGAAAGGTCTGTGTGAAAACTGCTGAGCCGTGGCGAGGTGCTTCAGACAAGAGAGGAACCCCCGAGCGGGTGTCTTCATGGTTAGGGTTTGGGGAAGTGTGGTTTAGAGGTTTAAGGGTTTTGTGGTTCAGGGCTTGTAGGGTTTTCGACGCTCACACTCGTGAATACCAGGATATAGGGCTTTAGGGTTTCGGGGGTAAGGTTTTCCCTAGCATTTGACTCCCGTGCCTTGGACTTTCCTTCGTATAGGCGCGAGATCAAGGTCTTGAATTAACAAACCTCTAGTTAGAATCCTGATAATCCTCTTGATGTCTCAATATTTGAGACCCTATGACAAACCGTAAAGCCCGAAATTAAAGGGTCCTTGTGCCCTGCATCTCCACTCCGCCACACTTCCTGTCAAGCTCCCCAGTTGACTCCCTCAACACTAGACGTTCAAATGTTGAAACCAACCAGTAGAGCCCGAGTCAGCGGGAGGTCATGGTGGGTACCCAGGCTATAGTAGAGCAGCACGTAAATACCGGTATGTCATCCGATGCAATTGTGTTCCGGCACCTGCACCTGCACAGAGGGCAACCGACGCACGACATGCTGCAGTTGAGGTGACGATGTCTCAAGACCTGTCTCATGTCTTAATAAAGATCCGTGTCAAAGGCTCTGTCCTACTGGGGTCTTTCAACTCAAGGTGTATGTGACAAGGCACGTTGCTTGATGAGACCCCCAACTTCTCAACAATTTCTGGTATACTATATTTGTATTTGATTCCTCAGGGTTGCCCGTGCTGTTCGTTGGCTAATGGCGCTGAGCATGTCAGAAGACAGGCTAGCGAATGTTTCAGAGTGGGTCCTCAGGCTCTTGCAGACCTCATCCTTTTCGTGCTACGTCGGTTGTAGGGTTTAGGGCCTTTAGGGTTTAGGGTTTGGGGAGCTGGGTTTGGGGTTCTTTATGGTCTCATCTGAGAAGTCTCGCCGTGAATTTCGGACCGGCTCACTACTAAGCTTGCTGGCCATTTCCAGCTGCCTGTTTCCGCACAGCAAGCCTGAGCTGCAAAACCTCGGAACCTTGTTCTATGCCGCTCCACTGCCGGACCCGCAAGAAAACTACTTGGTCTTGACCAGAAACCAGAAGCTTGGCTGAGAAACCAAGGAACTACAGGTATACTATGCCCAGAGATGCCTACCAAATAGATCTGGAGCACTCAGTGACTACAAAGGCCTTCCAGCTTTCAGAACGCACTGTAGTACTCTGCAGAGGATGTCGGAACAGCGGCTTTAGAGATTTCTGATTGAAACGAAGCCGACGAATGGGGTGCTCAGGCTATCAGACTAAGTCACTTAATATAGGGGCCTTACTAAGTAGAATAGGGTTTTGGGGCCGAATATACTGTAAATAGAATAAGGAGCCCCCAAAACAGTGTAGGTAATTGTTCAGGCCCCTGTAGTAACAGAGTTAAAGCCTACACCCCTAGCGATCCGACAACCTGGGACGAGCTGCATGAGCAATGAAACCAAACAGCGCCTGAATCCACAATCCAACGCGGACGCCCAGCAAAGCCATGGGTGGTTGTCAAAATTATGGTCCCTTTTGGGGTATCCTACATAATAGGCGCCGTGTTATAATAAGGACCCACAAAAGACCATAATTTTGACCACCACCCCCATAAGCCCATGCCCACTATCCAAAACGATTGGCAGTGGGCTCGGGGGTGTGCTGGGATGTTCTCACTGACTTACATAGAGCTGAAGTATGGTGTGGGATTTAGGGGACACCCCTCAGACCCCTGAACACCCCTCGATCTGGGAGCCCTAAAGCACAAGCCGCAGCCCTAACAAATAACCCTATCTAGCCAGTCGAAGAGTGTCCACCATCTATCCGACTAGAAGGGTCATGGGGAATAGCGAGTCTGTCAAAGTTCTTCTGATAAGTCTCCTAACTAGGCCGTACTTGGAGTTCACCTCGTGATAGCCCTACTCATAATCTACTTCCAACTACGTCCCTTGAACTTCTAAGCAGCTTTCTCGGCAACTGCGACGGGAAGTCAAAGTATTCAGCCGTATGGCTGCGGCAACATGCCCTCAGTCGGAGCCCTGCAGATGTCTTGCGTACTGTATAGTATCGTCTGGCATCTAAAAACTAACCCTAAACCTGCATCTATATCATGTTCTATTACCTATAACCCTAAGCATTAGTACGAGCAATTATGCTAAAACTTTGTATAAGGGAGTAGAGGCTTGGGTGCTTCCAATTGAAATCGTGTATGTGCTGAGTCCTTTGAAGAATTTGAAGTCTAGGGCTGAAATGATCTAGGGTTTAGCGATTCGGGTAACATGTTGGGGTCCAGGAACTCTGTCTTCATACCGTCTGGTTTGGGATTCCGGGCCGCCAGCATAGATCAAGGATATCATCGGACTATTGTTGCTCAGAATCTTCTGGGAATAACCTGAGCCGAACTTTGCAGATGCTGCAGGACCCCATAGCATTAGGTGAAACATTGCCCTCTGTCAGCTTGCACAGAAGGATCGCAGAATGGACATGGACAAGGGACCGCCCTTGCTTTACGACCCCCCACCAATAAGGCCTCCACCTCAAAACCTAAACCCTGAATGGCTTACGGCTTCGGGTTTCAAAGCTAGTCTAGTGAGCAGTGAGTGTCGACAAAGGGACTGAATTCCTTGTCCAAGGTCTCTCAAGGGTACAGTAACTCCTCTAGGCTTCTGGTCAGGCCGCAGCCAGACTAAAACCCAGAAGCCGGAAGCCCCTAATGCAGATCCCTGATTCGTAATGATGCCCCTGCTACTTCAAGCGGGCTCATCCTTCAAGACACGGGGGATGACTAATCAGGGATCTACTTCACTCCGGCGAATCACAAACCTAGTCTCCGAGCCGTCGGAAGCTGCTCCGTTGCACGACGGCTTGATTGTTCGACTGGATTGACTCCTGAGCACAAGCATTACTTAGGTGGTCAAGTGGTGTTCAGAGAGGTGGTTATGTAATGCGTATTTTGATTTTGAGGATCGCAGCATGCGAGGGTTTCAACTGACGGAGCCCGAAATCGGACGGGCAGGAACGCCTAACCCCAGGGTCAGGGATCTAAAGGTTCAGGGGTTTAGGGTTTAGGGTTCTAGGGTTTAGGGTTCAGTGTTTTGGGGTCCTGGAGACACTAAGCCCTAAGCCAAGCCCAAACACTGAATTCAAACCCAAAGCCCTAGGGACCATGAAGCCCGCCATCCCCGAAGCCTCCAGAGCCAAGCTTTAAAAAGCCCTACACCACGAGCCCTAAATTAGGGCTTAGGGTTGAGGGAAACCTTTTTACACCTGGACCAGGCATATGCCAGGAACCGACGGAAACCTTAAACCCCTAAACCCCTAAACCCCTCAACCCCTCAACCCCTCAACCCTCTCTCTCTGTCTCTCTCTGTCTCTCTCTCTCTCTCTCTCTATCTCTCTCTCTCTCTCTCTCTCTCTCGCTCTCTCTCTCCCCCGGGCATTCGATACGTCAAGCCTGAACCCCTACACCCTGAAACCCCAAAACCCCAAAACCCAAATCCGGCTCCTCCAAGAACTGCTGCATGATCTCCAGGCGGTCCATCATGTCTCGCACTCGAAGTAGGATGTAGATCACATCGCCTAACTTACAGGCTCAGGGACTTTTACGGTTTAGGGTTATATAGGGTTATATAGGCTTTAGGGGTTTAGGGTTTTCAAGTGGTAAGTAGTGCTATATAGTTGTAGTTAGGCTTCAGGTTTAAACGTCCGTGCTCCGCAGTTTTTGGTCTGGGGTGTATAGGTGCAGAGTCTAGTTTAAGGCTTTGCAGGCTGTAGCCTTTGGGGTTCACAAGGGTCCATATATATATATATATATATGAGAGAGAGAGAGAGAGAGAGAGAGAGAGAGAGATATAGATATAGAGATAGAGATCGAGATAGAGGTAGAGCGATATAGAAAAACATAAAGTTGCGCTTATGTTATGCTGTGTTAGGGAAACGGTTTTAAAAAGGACCCGTTTCGACCACGTGCTTTTGATCGCGCGAGCTTTGAAGGTCACCAATGGTGCTGTGGAGTCGAGTCTTGCGTGCTATCCGGCCCGGCGACTAAAACGAAGTTGCAGTATTTTTTGCGGGGCACCCTCCCCCAACACCGCCATACCCTGTACCCCTCCTCAGTGCCGGGCCCTTTGAGACGTCGCCCCTTAAGCTCATCAGCCCAGTCAGCAGTTCGTGAACGGACAGCTCACCTGAGGACGGGCTTTCCCTGGGCTTTATACGGTTTCGGAAGGTTTTTAGAAGCATGTTTATGGAATGCAGGTCGGGATGACTGGGAGCCCGGTGTTTGTTGAGGTCTTGTTCCTCTCTCGCGAATCGGATACAGAGGGCTTTTAGGACACAGGTTGGCTTGCAACGTTCGTGGCTTCGGGGGGGTTATGGATCCCAACGTGGGGTTTCGGGTCATTGCTGGTCGAATGTCTGCTTTTCGACGAGATAACACGCTGCGGTGGGTGAAAATCTTTTGAGCTACATGTGTTGCGTCCAGGACCCCAGGCTTTGCCCTTCAAATCCGGGATCTTCAACCTTACTACCAGGGGATTGAGTGAACGAAGCCAAAAACGCAGGCTGCATCTCCCCCACCATTGGATCCTCAAACAAGCCACTCTGGCCATGACATGTCCTGCACCAGAAAGCCCCTTAACCCGAACCCTAAACCCTAAACCCTAAACCCCAAAACCCTAAACCGCCTTAACCCCAAAACCCTGAACACCAACATCCTTGACCCTGGCATCCTAAACCCTTACCCTTTCATCCGAAATTGCGTAAGCTCTAACCCCTATAAAGCAATCCCTTAAAGCTTACGCCTAAGCCCTGAACCCTACTGAGTTCCCCGACCACCCAGGTCTACATCAAGGATGTTGAAGAGCTCGAACTTGTTGGAGATGTCAACCTCACGGCTCTTCAAGGGACCCGATAGGTTCGGGGTTTAGGTTTATAGAGTTTTAGGTTAGTTAGGGTTTTTTTGTTTAGGGCTTTTAGGTTTAAGGCCTTTTTTATTTTTTTTAGGGTTTTGAGGAGTCTGAGGGATGCGACAGTTGGGAACTTAGGGTAGAGGGTCTAGGGGCCCGAAAGCCTTGGGGTTTCGAGTTTAGGGGCTGATAGGCTGGTGTTTTGTAGCACCTGAAGGACCGAATGACCCTTAAAAGTCGATGCCCTGCACCGATATGCCGTGAATCCCTATAGGGTATATGAACCTTAAACCCGTTTAGTGTTGCTAGCAGGCTATATGACAAGAGGGTTCCATAGGGCTTTCTGGGGGTGAAGGGTTCAAAGGACCCAACTAAGTGGTCCCGCCAGGGGTGAGGACAGCGGCCATGTCTGCTCTTGGGGTGCTATCGGGTTCTTCCGGATTTCGTCTGTCGGACCCAAATTTGTTCAGAGAGCTGTTGCTGCTTGTGCTGTTCTGCTATTCGCAAAGCCCCTGCATCGGCGACTGTTTAGGGGAGTATATGATATCAGGTACTTGGAAGCTCAGAGCCAAATGCTCCGGTTCCACTAGTATGCAGCTGCATCGGTACAGTAAGATGCTCTGCATGTGAGCCACTTGATAATACAAAGCCTTTCAGATCTATAAATACCAACGTATACAATTTCTGGTAGGGTTGGGAGGTGTCAAGGCCTGTTCTTAGTTCGACCCTAAGCTGAGTTGACCCGGACAGAAGAACTGAATAACATACCCTAAACACAAATAAACACCCTGAGCCCCAAACCGGGAATTTAGAAGCCCGAAACTTGGAACATGATACTGTAGTTCTCATCATGCTCTTCAGGTAGAGGAAACCTCAGCGGTAAACATCTTCGTCACATGTTTCTGCTACCTTCGCCACCACCCCCCACCCCAATGAAAAGGCCCCAAGAACAGCTGAAGCATCAACCTTGACTCCTATAACACTGATTGATGGACGGCGGGCGAAGTATTGACCAAAGCGCTACGTGACCATAACGAGGAGAAACCCTTGTGTCCTCCTGTAAAAACCGCTAGAAACTTTACAAAACCCCATCTGCACAAGTCTTCGACGACTCTTCGGTTACCCCCTTGGTTTTTAAAACCCGTGCAAGATAGCCTAAGGGTCCATGTACTCATATAGTATATACATTGGTCTTAATGTAGTCCCTATATAGGTACATTGGGGCCCATGTATCTCTATATGGGTACATGGACTCTTAGGGATAGCTCTGAGCCAAAGCAGCATCGGCTTCCTCAAGGACTTTGACGAACTCCGGGTCTCTAAGCCACGCTTGGAAGATGTCGCGCGTGATGTTGATGTTACACTCCTACCCAGACCCCCGGGAGGATCCAAAAAGTAGATCCCTTAACGGGGGTTCCTATAAAGTGCGCTTAGTAGTATAGGGCCCCAAATTAGGGGATCTACTTTCTAGATCCTCCCGGGGGTCTGGGTATCCGGGTTTAGGGGGTTTCAGGCACTTCCTTAACCGGAATAACTTACCTTTTAAGGACTTATATGAGGAAATCTTAATACGGAACCCCAAAAGGGCATGGTTGAGGTTAGGATAGCAGGTTATGAGGGTTTACTAGGGTTTGTAGGGTTTTGAAGGTTTAGGGCTTGAGGCTCAGGATGTTAATGTTACATTCCTTGTCTTGGTATTGCGGTTCTACAGTCAGGGCTTTACAATCCTGTTTCATTGGTTTATAAGGCTTGCTTTAGGCTCATGTATGTATGGGTTTCTGGCTGCATACTGTTTCGGGTTTCAGGGTAACGATGAAGGAAGGGTGTTAGATGTTGCACTCCTGGTGTGAGGGATCTTTGTTCCATCCATTGTTGCAGTACAGGGCATGTTGCCTACGTTTAATGGTGCTTGGATTTCCTTCGCGCCCTGTCTCGAGGTTCAGGTCTTGTCGCCTGCTTTTAAGAAGAGCTTGCATAAGGCCGTAGGATGTTTGTGTTGCTTCCTTCTGGCCTTGAAGGCTTCAGCGAAATTCCGTGGACCCCTGAATAATAACGTTAGCGATCTTGTTCATCAGCCAAGTTCAGCCAAGCCCTTATGGACGAAAAGGGTGGTGACTAATCAGTAGTCTACCTTCAGGATTGCCCCTGGCTGCCCACGATCCGTGACCCACAAGTGAAACAGCTGCGAGTGAGGACATCTGTCGCTGCATGCAACTTGTATGTCACGAGCATTGCGCTCTTACTACTCCGAATCTCCCTATGCACAACTTGCAGACATGTCCAATCCGGACTCACTCAAGCCCTGTGGAGTGCTAAAGCCCTACTCCCGGGAGGTGTTCTAACAGGGTTTAAGTTTATTGCACTGAACTTAGAACCCTATCTAAGTACCCCTGAGTTTTGGGCGAATACCCCAAGACCGAGGCACCTTCAACAGCTTGAACCTTGGCCAAGCTTGACAGGTTGTTTCGGTGAGTACGTTGGAGCAAACCGGTTGCAGATCCTATATACCTTGGCTACATTCCCAAAGGCATATAGGCGCATGTTGGACTTTGCAATGTGCCCACAGCTCTGCAACGATTACCCAAAGGCTACCATGGTTCGGGAAGTCTGGTGGAGCGTCACAGGTGTGGGTGGACTCAGGATTGGTCCTTTTTTGACACTGGGCTTGCTGGCTGCCTAAACCCTACTTTTTTTCCCCACAACCGCCCGGCTGACCAAGGCCTTTATGATTAGATCTGTACGATATTTTGGAAAATAGCACGGAGCCCACAAATCTTATCATCACAATCATTCAGCCAAGACACGCCTCATCTGCGCAAAGTCTCTGTTCGAGCTGATGACGCTTGCGCCCGGTATCGGTGAGATTCGTCCTCAGGGTCCGAACTGCGTCATAAACGTGATGGTAGTGTGAGGTTCAATTTTGGCGGAGCAGGTCTGTGACAGCGAATGGTTGGGACAAACAACATTTTCAATAGCATCCCAGTATAGTTCCTAAATCAGTATACGGCATCCTACCTTGAACACTCTAAGCCTAAACCATGAAACCCTAACTTCGTCAATTCTTCAGCCCTTCGAGACCCTCAGCAAACCCTCATAGCCCTAGAGTAAGCTAGTTTTCTTTCGAAACTCGTCGTGCTAGAAATTCCAAACATAGTAAGCAACCCTGAGGCACAACTCAGTATTTAATCAGGCCCCAACATTACATCAACCCCTGCCGACCCACTTTCCAAGTCAAGGAGCAGCTTGTTCACCACGTCGTCAGAGAAGCCTAAGCCCCGCGCTTCTCTGCAAGGGCTGAAGCATGTGTGAGCCCCGCAACATTTGATATGTCCTATTACCTGGTGTGAACAACTAGATCGGGGCTTTTGGGTATGTGCACAACAGTTGTTTTGCAACAGAAATGCCACGGCGATGCTATCACTGGTTAGTCAGATGCCTGTGACAGCTAAGGCAGCGACTATAGTGGACACCGTGTAGCTGCAACCGTAACAACCACGTTGGTACTGAGCCCTGCTGTTCTCATAGCAGGAAACAGGAGCAGCAATTGCAATAATGTAATGCTCGGTTCGGGGCTTCGCACTCCTGACTCAAAGGCATTGAGCCCTGAACCTTGCATCCAAAACCCCAAAGCCCTGCCCCAAAACCTGAGCTGCTGAGAACAAGGGCTCTAGGATCACGCGCTGGCCGAAAAGTCTCTTCCGGAACCCAGTGCCATAGCTCGAAACTACAATGGCTCTCCTTTTTCGGGCTCAAGTCGGCGGGGGCACGAAGCACGGATCCTCCTCCTATTCTTGCCCTTGGCATTTTTGTATGCGAACCGTTGATCGGATGTGCCAGCCGTTTTATATACCCAAGAACTGAGAGAGTTTCCATTCTACGATCTGCCAACATTCTACCCTGAATCCCTAAGCCAGCAACCCACACATAACACAAATTAGAAGCTCCGGACCACCAGACTTACAACCAAACGAAGTTTACCAGAAAGAACAATATGCTACTGCAGCTTCTTGTCAAAAGACTCCGTCGAAAGACAAAAAACAGCAAACAGCACATGCATCGCCATGGTCCTCACGTTCTTTCAAACGGAAAAGAACCTGCAGGCCTCACTGGTTCGGGTTTAGGGTTTAGGGTTTAGGGTTTAGGGTTTAGGGTTGTTCCTTTTGCATCAGGCTTCACACTTGCCTGGATTGCCTTGCTGGTTCCTAAACCTTACCTTAACCCGTAATAACCTACCTTTTCAAAATCTTATATATGGGAATCTTCATAAGGAGCCCTAAGAAGGTAGGTTATTCAGGGTTAAGGTAAAACCTCGAACACCAAAGCACCCACAATCATCTGGACCGAGGCCGACCCTTACTGGTTCCTAAACCTTAAACCCCGAAGAGGTACCTGGACACTAAAAAACACCTACCTGTTCAGGGTTCCCTATTATGATTTCTTTGGGGTCAAGGTACAGGAGAAGCCAGAAAGTTGGAACATCGTTATCCTCGTACCTTAAGCCAAAGTATAAGGAATCCCTGCACTAATCTTCCTAAATCCATGTTCCAACTTTCTGGGCTTCACTATAAGCCCTGAACCATCAACCCTAAACCCTGAGGAGCCTCTGGCTTTCCTTGTCCAAGGCACGCTCCATCACGGCGGCTGCGGGCTTGTCGGTACCCGGCTCATTGATAAACCTCCCCCAAGGGGTGTGTTAGGGGTCTAGGGTTTAGGGCTTGGAGGGTTTAGGGTTTAGAGGGTTTTGGGGTTAGAGGGTTTCGGGTTTAGGGGGTTTAGCTCTTCTGTAGCATTTAGGGGTATTTTGGGGGTTTACGCTCTTGCAACTCGAATGTTAGGGGTTTAAGGTTTAGGGTTTAGAGGCTTGTCGGGCTCAGCACAGAAGATTGTTGTAAGGTTTCTGAAGCCTTTGCAAAGGAGTCTTGCAAGAGAGGGATAATACCCTAAACCCTAAACTGCGGGATAAGAGCTTCGAAAGACATTCAGGATTTCTGTATTCAGGATCTTCGTGCTTCGCGTGAGGGAGGTTAGGGTTTAAGTTGTAGGGCTACAGGGGCTGTGGTTAAGATTATTTATCGTGTGGGTTCAGGACTGAAGGGTGTGGGCTTCAGGTTTATCATAAGGTTGCAGCTGTGAGGTTGGAGGGCGCAATGTAGGGGTAGGGGAGCCTTAGGGCCTCAAAGGCCTGAATGGGTATAAGATTCGGGGCTGCAGGCTTTAGGATGCTATGCTTTCGACATCAGAAGCTCAAGTTGCAGCGCGAAGTTTAAGCTGTATATTGAACATTCAAGGTGCGCTTATTCGCTTACTTTAGAAACCTGTGCTGCTTTCCGATTTATACACTCCTCGAAAGTACAATCATGCAGATTCTGATCATGGCTGTTGTTCTTTCTTCTTGGCTAGGACGTTCCTGAACCTTGAGGCTTAACCCCTAAGCTAGGCCATGGAAGCCCTCAAGCCAAATAGCTAAACTAAATCCTCAACGCGGGGTTAGGGTCTGGTCTTGGGCTTGGGCTCTGACTTTCAGGGGTGTTCGGGGTTAAAGGAAACCAGACCATCAATCCTGAAGCCGGAGTAGGCCAAGGCCTTTCGCATTGCAAGGATCGAAACTTACGACCTCGAGGTGTAGTTGCTGAGTTCATAAGCCCCACAGAGTGTACACTTTCAGTCTTATAGTGGGTAATATTATCCCAAAACGTGTAAAGTGTATCCACTCAGCTACTAAGTTAGGGTTTACGGACCCTTAAAGCCCGAAGCTGCATCGCCCACCTTGCTAGCAGGAGTTTCAAGGAAACCTCTACGTCGAGGGCCGTCTCACCTCAGGAGTTAGGGTTTAGGGTTTCGGGTTTAGGGGGGCGCTTGAGCTCTTCCCGAGGGCAAAGGGTAAACTTCAGAGCTTGGGATCCAAACTTTCTTATTTGAACGACATGGGAGTTTCCGAAAATAGGGGACCCTAATATAGTACCCTAAATAGCAGGATCCTTATTATAAGGACCCCCAAGATAAGGTACCCCTAATTTTCGGAAACTTCCACATTTTCCGTCCGCTCCAGCTGGCCGAAACCCAATGGGGTGTAGGCGATCCTTTCACCCACGGGATCCGGACTCTAGGGCTTTAAGGGCCTACGGTTTTGGGCTTGGGGTTTGGGGGTGTCGTGCTTAGGGCTTAGTGGCTTAAGTATATTTAGCGCTGTGGGAAATTAGGATTTCGGGGTTCAAAGTTTCCTTATGGACCACGTGACCCCTTCACAGGCATGGGGCACTTTCCACGTAAACCCTATATGGGGCAAGAACCATCAGCTCTTTGGGGGTTCACGTGAAGCTAAAACTCCCAGAGCCCTAAAGTCCTAAAGCAACGCAGCAAACTGTACAAGACCCCCATATCGAAGGCTTAAAACACTTCCAAGCCACGCCTATAACCCATGCAACAAAAGTGGAGACGCTGCAAGATCATAGCCGTAGACCACTGCAGCTGCAGGGTTTGTGAGGCATACACACAAAGACCTAGGTAGCTACGTGGACTTGTATACACCAGTAAGGAACCACCAACGACTGAGGCCTGTGTAAGTTGAGTGCATGTTACCTCGCCCTAAACCCAAATAGAAGCCTCTTACAGGTGGGTAGTTCTTCTTCCATAGTACTCCCATAAGACCCCCTTTACCTTATAGGAGTGGTATGGGAGGCTTATGGGAAGCTACCCACCTTATAACTACCCACCTGTAAATGTCTTAGACCAAACTCCTGCACCTAAGCTCTGCTCCCCCCTTACTGAGCCCTAACTTGGCTTTCTGTTAAGGAATGGTAATGGTATGGTGTCCTTACAATGGTGACTTAGATCATCGTTAAACACGGAACCCAACTAAAGGCCGAAGCCGCTCCAAACCCTTCCTCGCTCCCCTTGCCCGCTGCTGCCAGACGGCCCAGTTCCTTCTGCTTCCGCTGGTTCCTTGAATCAAAGCGTTAGGTTTTCTTTCGCTGTACCGGCGTTGCAACTTTGCTTGTTGTGCGTTCGTTTAACGGCTTAGGCTGCACGGCGCCCGGTACTTTGTAAATCGGGAAATTTGGGGCCGCCACTATCCTCCCAACCGTCTGGGCCGAAATTAAGGAGCCTCATACCCCCCCCAGGCCCAAGTGTAAGTGCTTAAGCACTACAGAGCTTTGGGTTGAGGTCTGCCGAAAGTCAAGCTTAAACTTTCAGCGCAATATTCGGGGTTTAGGGCAGTGGGGAAGATTCCTTCTGAATCTGAAAGCCTTCAATTCAAAATCCTAAGTTTCGAAGCCTCGACAGTTTGAGCCAAGCTCCAAGCCCTGAGCCCGTAATTCTGCTGTCACGGACTCCGATTTCGTTCCACGAGGAGAGAGCTGAAACTCCCCAACCAAAAAAACAAGCGAAACAAGAAAAGCCAGACCCGACACTTATTCGTAGCGTCGTAGTTAGTAGTGGTGGGGCTGACAGTGACTCACTGGAGACCATCCAAGCAGTCGAGCGTCTGGGATTTGGTCACATTGTCTATGAAGACCGCCTCAGCTGCAGGGCAGCTCGTTCACATGTGAGAGTTTCCGAAAATAGGGGACCCTACTAGGGTTAACGACCCTAAAATAAGGTAGCCCTAATTTTCGGAAACTCCCATGTGGAGCCATCTGGCAGCTGAAGCCGCGCTCAGGCCAAAGACTGCCCTGAACCCTAAGCTTCAAGCCTTCAAATCCTGCCACGCTAAACCCTGCAACCCTAGTGTATCCACCCTCCCAAAACCCCCCCCAAAGTAGGTACAATAATGGCCCAATACCCATAAAAGGCTATTGTTCTACATACTTTTGGGGTCCAGGTAGACTCTAAATGCAGGAGGACAGACCCCGGGCTCCGCACCATGATCAGGTTGAACAAGCCTGCGAGGTGGCTCTTCAAATACTCGTTCAGAGTTGAAAGTTTTAGGGCGTATAAATTATGAAGCTTGACGTTTAGGGCTAATATATCCTATATAGGGCCAACATAGGATTTTGGGGGTGTCTAGAGCTGTGCACTTCCTCGGCATGGCAGCACGAGTTTCACGTTCCAGGAGTCTCGGTCATAGAGACCCTACTACTTGTGCATGTTTGCAGGGTCCTCCAGGTACTGAAACTGAAAAACCCTAAACACTTCTAGGCTTTGCATTCGACTGCAGAAGACCTGCAATCTCAAGACTTCCCCGAAACAGCCAGAAACGCAAAAAAACCTGCAACTGAATCCCAGTGCCCCTTGTGCGGCCGGGCTGTGAATGTGCAGCAGAGCCCTCAAACACTATGCTCGAAAGCCTTGCGAAGCCATGCAAATTAAATCCTGAACCCCAGACCGTGGCATAAGACCCCAAGCCCTGTTCCAAAAGAACCCTCGGCTGGCCTACTGTCACCAACATCGTGACGAGCACATAGGCGATCTGAAAATCCACGTTATACCTGGGTGAAAAGGGTGACATAGTGCATAGGAGCTTCCTACGAACCATTCGGCGCTAGAAATAACTACGATCCCATTAACTAGGGTTGACTTTTTTAGGGCTTAGAGTTCATGATTCGGAAAGCTAACCACCGAGGCCTCTTAGAAACCCTTGTGCGACCCGTCCAAACACTCATAAACCCGATATATCAGGACATGCACTCATAAACCCGATATATCAGGCTGCGGGCGGCTGATTTGACCTTTCCAGCACGCTTTTGAGGCATCAGTTTGAGCCGTGGCGGTTTGGACTTCGGTGTCAAGGGCCGGGGTGGAGGTTTGGGCTCGAGGTGAGTATGGTTGGGAGATGCTGGGAGTCTAGGTTTAGGACTAGGATATTCTAGGGGGGTGCAGGTCCGGGTGCGGATAAAGATGAGGTTACTACTACTACTACTACTGCTGCTACTACTACTACTACTACTACTACTACTACTACTGCTGCAACAAACAACACCTTATACAGCCCAGTCCTGAAGATTGTTGAAGTCCAATATACCGTCAAATCTCGAACCTAACCCCTTGATCATCATCCGTTAAGCTAGCTTACAAAAACTCTCTCCGAAAGTTTTCACGCTCAAATTGAGGCTTTCCCGAAGCCCTGTGCACGTCCGAGCCATGTGCGTCAGCAACTCTGGAGGGATCTCGTCACGCCTGAGCCGCCAGCCAATATCAATATCCTGGCTTCAAACCTAAACCCTTAATGTAGTTTGGTCTCTCTGAGGTGCCTCCCTAAACCCTCAACCCTAACTCTTATACCCTGATTTCAACCCGATTCTTTGAATGCAGAGCTCCTTTTACAGCGTTGCGGGGGCCTTTTTGGGTTCTGCTATCGGGGTTTACGGATTCCTGTAAGGGGTCTTTAGGTTTAGGATTCTGAACCCGAAGTGATGGGGCTTTACGGGGTCCCTGCGAGGGTTACAGGGTTATACACTAGGATGCCCAGTAACCTAGGAACAAAACGGGCTCCCTTGTTGGTATTGGGTAACTTTACAAGGAACCTAGGACTACAGAAAGGGAATAAGGGTATTACCTATAGGCTCATACCCTACCATTTTTTGGAGATCCTAACCAATCCTAACCATAAAACTAGGTACTCCAAGAAAGGGGTAGGGTATGACCCTCTAGGTACTGGGCATCCTAGTACGGGGTTCCTTTACACCAAAGTCCCTCTGAGGCCACAGGCGGAGTCGAAGCGTTGAAGCCGGGCGCGCCCCCCCTCAGCAAGAATTTCGAAACTCGGTTTAGGGTGTAGGGTTTACGGTGTAGGGTTTAGGTTTTTCTTTTTTGAGGGTTTAGGGTTTTTTTTGAACTCCTTTTCTCCAGAGCCAGCAGAAGGGTTTAGGGGTTAGGGTTTAGGCTCTCCATCCAGAGATCTAGGTCGGCTTTGGGCTTCCTTACCTTGAGAAAATACAAACCGGACCTGGGCTCCCAAAACAGAAGATCCAGCCAACACCCAACTCTAAAGACAACCCTAAGGGTCCATGTACTCATATAGTATATACATTGGCCTTAATGTAGGCCCTATATAGCTACATTGGGGCCCATGTATCTCTATATGGGTACATGGACCCTTAGGGATGCTTCATTTGTCGTCGAGAACTATCAGAAAAAGTTTAGAATTTCAGACGCATGGTCTCGCAACTACAAAATCATTTTGGGCTGATATGCACGGGAGCCTTCTACGTTGGTACATGAAACCTTGGTAAACAACCCCGTCACTCAAACCTAGGATCCACTAGATTATCGGAGCCCTACTAACTTCGTATGATATATGCTTCGGATTGACTGCAACACCATGTCCGGCAATACAGGATGAACACTTCGGGGCGCTCTAGGCAACTTCATCTGCCGTTCGAAAAATCGACCGAGCCAAGCGAAATGCGAAAGAGTCTTGGCTCACAACTGCAACGCAAGCATTTTGGGACGAAGGGATGCAGTTGGAACCAAGCGCAGCCAAGGTGCAAAATGTACATCTGCTCAGGCAACGGATTGCCATCGTAGTCTTCGCAGGCTTCGGTGAAGCAGCGGAAGAGCGTGAACATGCCGTTCTGGGCAACGGGCGGTTTTCGAACGAAACCCTGAATGCAAGGATTCTGAGGCAGCAGAACCACCACCGCCTCCACTGCCACAGCTCCAACTGACGATTGCGACCACTGCCAGACGAAGACTACGGCTGCGACGGCAAAAACGACGACCACGAAGATGACGCCACGAAGATCGATCCCGAAACGACCACGACCAGGACAATTCCACCACAACAACAACAACAGGACTCCTGCGCATAATCCTCGCACTGTCGTCTTTGTTGGGGCTCACGGTTTCCACCAGTTTCAAAGCTGTCATCGTAACGTCCGCCATCGCCACCATCATCACCATAAGGACTCGTGGTACCCGACGTTTCTAAACTGAACTTAGAACCCTAGCAAAAATCGTAATTTCAACTGTTTCTTAGGGACTATAATAACCAAAAATTAAAAATTATTTCTAAGTGCCCATAAGGTTTATACAAGTTTGGAGTTCCGGGCCTGGGGTGTGGCACTGCGATGTCAGCGGGAGCTTGTGCATCGTCGGGACCCGAAGTCTAGCCAAACTTCTGCGTGCTTTTCATATATATATATATACATATATATATATATATATATATACACATATGCATCTGAAAACATATACATTCAAACCCTTTGCTTCTGACACTTCTTTCTTGGGTTTCGAGTCTCCTGAGGAGCGTGTCAATGCAAGGAGGTCGAGCCTACTCTTGGATGCAGAATCCACCTGAGCCTCCAGCTGGCACGGTGCTAAACTCCTCGAAGTAGTCGCCATAGAGCACTTTCGTAATGATGCTGATCGTGTAGATCACCACCTAGCTTTTGTTGTGGTTGCGACTTCCAAACGACCTTCTTTGGGAAAACTTGCGCCAGGACCGACTTTTAATTGAGGCCTGCGCTAAGCAAACTACATTGACATGTGCTCCCCCGCCAGGCGAAGCTCTGAGGCTGTCATATGGGAGTTTCCGAAAATAGGGGACCCTAGTATAGTACCCTAGATAGTAGGATCCTTATCATAAGGACCCCAGCAAAACAAGGTACCCCTCTTTTCGGAAACTCCCATATAGTTCCTGTCAGCCTGTCCACTCGCCGACGAGATCACCCAGCTTGGATATGCCGCCGCGGCAAAACTGCAAACCCTAAACCCTACACCCCTGAACCCTTTGCTTTGGCCGGGACAGCTCGTAAAACCTCCACTCCTATAGACCCAGAACCCTAAACCCAACATGCTCAATCCTGAACTCTGAATTTCCGGAACAGTCTAATAAGCAGCAGCAGCAGCAGCAGCAGTACCCGTACCAGCAGCAAAATCATTATGGTGTTCAGTTTCATCGAGCAGGCCTTGCAGCCAAGGTTACAAGGCAAGGGCAGTTACCAGCTCAACACCACAGGATACATGATCCAAGCCATCTCGATAATCAACGGTCCTGCATCGAGGGTGCTTATCCAATTGCGTCCACAGTACTTTACTCAGTGTGTCGTATTATGTAGGACCGCAGTGATGAGCAACTCTTTTGCTGGTTGTCCTGACCCCTACTTTAGCAAGGTAATCCTCATAGTACCCCTCAGCGCAGCCCGTACAGAACCCCAAATTCTAAGTCAGTTCGAGGCAAGGTGCCATGAGCAGGACGATGGCCCAAGACAGAGCTCGGATTCCGGAAAGCAAGCCCATAGCCATGAGCTTCAGCTCCTTTAGGCTTTTTGTGTTAAGGGTGTTTTTCCGCCTTCCAGTTAAGGGCAGCTCCTTTAGGTTTAGGGTTTAGGGCTTAGGCTTCATGTATCGTTTAGTACGGCCATGAGCTTCAGCTCCTGTAGTATGGAAGGCAGAGAGGTTCCTGGGCATTATTCAGCCTTCCATTATTCCAGAAACCAAGCTTCAGAAGATAGATCAAGGCTCGCGGAGGTTTTACAGCCCATGGAGCCTAGTGCTCAACTGGAAATGGAAAGATGTACCACAAGCAGTCTGAAGCAAAGGTCAAGGCTCTGCCTTAATAACCGTTTCCTTTGGACTTCCAAAATGCAACCTATCAGGACGAGCACCGCATCAAGTATGAACCCTAGGGAAACCTTGAACATCTTGAAGCGCATGATTCGGACCAGGCGGAAAAGTCTGGCCAGCCGGAGCACCTTCGGAAGGAGGGCTTCATGAATCAGGTTTTTGACTTTAGAGGTTCATATGTATGCAACGCATCTATGTATCGAACTATGTATGCATGTATGTATGTATGCACGCATGTATGCACGTTGTACGTATGTATGCATGTACTCGTCGAAGCGCCTGTGGGGAAACATAATAATCGTCTGCCTGTCTGCCTGGTTGTCTGTATGTATGTACGAACGTTTCACCGAGCTTAGGCCACGAGTCGCCCTCATAGGCATGCATCGTCAATCGTTCATTTCCTTACTGCTAGCTGATACTGACTTCCTGTGAATTGCATGTCGCCATTATAGGTGTGCAATATTTCTTCATCATCCTGGCTTCCTTGTAGTATCATAGGCGTGCACCATTTCCTTTATCGTGAAAAGACCATCTGTAGTGACCTGACGATGCGCATCAGACGCCGAAGCAGAAGCATGCTTCTCACGGGTAATCTGCGTATGGGGTTAAGCAGTGCTCTGCGCAACCTGCCTGACACCTACAATGTTACAACTATTTCGTATAGCATCGTATACTTGCACGTCAAGGTAAACCGCTCAAATCACAACCGCACTCCAATGCCGTATACTTACGGCTTGTAACCCGAACACCGAAGCCCTGAACCCTGAAACCCAGAAGGGGCCTTGAGGAGGTTTACGGCACTCTGGCCGTCGAGGCCGAAAATGATCTTCACGGCCAGCTCCTCGAGTTTCAATTCGCACGACCCGTCTCGGGGCAAGGACTGGGAGACTTTAAGGTAAAAGCCAGAAAGTTGGAATATGATTATCCTAAACCCTTTATGGTAAACTATAGGGTATCCTACCCTGAAACCATATTCCAACTTTCTGGAGTTGCCTTTATGGGGTTCTTACAAAACGATATTCAGTAAGAGTTCTCAGCCCAAGTACCCTCAAGAACCCAAGTCTACTCGAAAGCCTGCAGACCTTTCGTGCTAGGGTTTTAGCACTTTGGGACTTAAGTGTCCGCCTCATGAAATCCGATACATTCCCGAACTCAGAACTTCTCGACTTTCAACAAAATGCCATATCTCTCACGGCTCAGGATGTGGGCTTGGGGCTTCAAGGATAAGCTTTGGCCTTAGAGAGCTTTTTGGACCCAGGGGTTTTATGTACCTTTCAAAGGTATTTGAGGTTGTCGAATGCGCGTGCTTAGTGCTGCTAAAGTTCTAAGGTATATACGGGGTCTTGGAGTTTGAGGGCCTTCGGTGATATGGCAGCTTCAGGTCGCTGATGTCAGTATTGCAGTCGCTGCAAAATAAAACCAAGACGAGCGAACCATTCGAACAGGCGGTTTACGAAGTCAGCCCTAAAGCCAAACCCTAAACCCTAAACCCTAAAGCCTAAACCCCTCCAGTGGCGAAGTTCTGAAAATCAGGGTCCAGCTCGCAGGATATGCAAGGAGCATCTTACTACTAGGCCTGGGAGTTTCCGAAAATAGGGGACCCTAATATAGTACCCTAGATAGTAGGATCCTTATTATAAGGACCCCAATAAAAGGTACCCCTAATTTTCGGAAACTCCCATATAGGGGCCTGAATAATTAGCAATAGCCATTATGATAGTATAGTTATAACATGGAACCCCCCAAACTAGTAGAGGTAATTATTTAGGCTCTTATACTGAAGACTCCCCTAAACCCAACACGATCGAACCCTACAGCCTTTCTGCAAGGGAGCCACTCTGGCACATGCAGGGCTTGCAGTTTTAGTTCCTGGTTTAGGCTTAGGTTCAGGGCTGACTGGTTCTACTTGGTATCGCAGGTTTAGGGTTTAGGGTTTAGGGGTATCACTAGTTGGGACTACCTGTTCTGAGTAGTATAGGGGTCTGAAGCAGTTTCAATACTATCTTCGGGTTCCGCAGTACAAGGTTTTTTGTATCATATACTCCGAAACCCTACCCATAGGCTCCATAGTAGTTTCTTTTTGGGCTTCATACTTAGAACCCTATAAGGTAATCCCAACAAAGTAACCACTATGGAGCCTATGGGTATTCTAATTCTTCTTAAGGCCGCCATAGTATCATCCTGCACATGTAATTTTTTCAATGCCCCGAATCCTCGAGGAAGACCCTTCCAACCACGAAAAACGAACAACCACACCCAAACCCCGGAAGACATTCATGCAGGATTTAGGGTTTATAGGGTATAGGAGCCCCATGACCTATAACCCTAAACCCTATTAGAGTGAACCCCAGAAAGTTGGAACATGGATTTAGGATGATTCATGCTGGGTTTCCCTTTACTTTACCTTAAGGGCATGAGGCTACTGGTGTTCCAACTTTTTGGCTTCTACTGTAATCGTAATCGAACGCGACGACCTATAACTCTAAAACCGATAAACCTGGACCCCTGAACCCGATGACCTATAACCCTAGACCCTATACGATCCATCCCTAGGCCCTAAACTTCAATCCTAGCTCCCGGAGAAAGTCCAAGCGGCTGCTGCGGACACGAGAAGGCACCCAAAGTCGAATAAGTTCCATGAGAGGTCAGGACCACCTGGAGGTAGGCCAGGGTCTAAGTTGAGGGTTTTGTATTTAGGGGTTTAGGGCTCCAGCTACCCTAAGAGTCAGAGTAGGTTACGAAAAATTAAGGTAGGCTTCAGGTGCTATGGGGCCTTCGTTTAGCGTTGTCGGTTCAGCCCGTGGGGATACCGGGCTGAGGTTTAGGTGTAGGCTTAGGGCTGCGATGCTCACGTGGTGGCAGCTGCAACGAATATTTTTGGGATGCCGTGCCTAGGGATCGCAGTTTGGTTCTAGATACCAGGTTTTGCAGGCAAACGGCTGATCTCGCAACCCTAAGCCCCCAAACCGTAGCCCCTGCATCCTTTTGCAGCAGTGCTCTTAGTGTCAGCCAGCGACCCCGCCCACGCTCTGAAGTTCAGTTCTGCTGACTGAGGTTCCGAATGCTGGCGAGCCAAGAAACTGGAAGTACTCTGCAGTCACTACAAGATCTCGTTTGACATACTGCGAGCTGATGTCTTTGATTGTATACAAGTATGCCTCGGCAGCATTTTCGGCAAGGAGAAGCTGAACACAAGCCACACGACGCAGCATCTGTAAATTGTAAAGCAAACGAGGGAGTCATAGGCAACCTAAATGCCAACGTCAAACTCTAGTAAGCCATCTTCTGTCTCAACACTTGGCTTTGCGAAACGGCTGAACAGCGGACAAGACGTCCACATCCTCCTGGAGGCTGTCTTTAGCAAGCTGCAGGAGATCCTCGTGCGGAAAACGAGAGATCAGTTCAAGCACGGCCGGTTTAGTGGCGAACCTCAAGCTCGTCTTGTCTTTCTCAAAGGCCACAGAGACCACATCAGCATCGGCAAGAAACTCCGACTTGGCGAACTTCAGGGCATGTGGATACTCTCGGACAGCATCGACCAGCAAGGCCTTGTCCCCGATGTACTTCGCAGCACGAGGATTCTGACCGACGGCGGCCAGGACCACCTGTCGGACCCTATACGTCGGCGGCACAACGCGGAGTGCTAGACCGTTCTTGGTTACAGCCATCAGCACGATGGGCTCGTCAAGCAAAAATCGACGGGCGAATTCCAAGGCCAGTGGGTTCTGTTTAACGGCAGCCAAAACAATGCCGCGACTTTGTATGCGAGTGTTTTTCAGCAGCAACCCATTCTTCTTTATGTGCGAGGGATGTAGGAAGTGAATCATGTTCGGATCTGCCTTGAGAGCCTTCGCGACCAGCTTCGGATTCTTTTGCACTGCCTTCGCGGCTTGGGCCAATGCAAACGGGTGGCTTGCCATGGCCAGTTCCACTACCTCTTCATCACGTAGCGGAGCTCCACGGATGTGGCGCATTGCCTTGCCGGTTTGCCTCACAGCCGCCAGCGCAAGGTCTCGGTCACGCCTGAACTCCTCGGTGGCATAAGCGAGGGCTTCTCCGTCAAACATAAGCATAACTTGTAGCTGGTCCCGATCGGAAATGGGCTCCAACTTCTTGTGGTCCACGTGAAGAAGAGCCACCTCAGCCTCTGGGCTGTCGATGACCTCGCCCAGTCGCTGAGCCTCGTGAAGGGGTTGCTGGTCATAAAGAAGACGCTGTCGTCTCCAGTGCAATCCTGTTTCTCGCTTGATCGCCATCATCAACTCAAACACGAAAGACCGTCGGTCCATGACCAGCTCGGTCACGACACGGGTGGAGAGCCCTCGCAGAATCCGAACCCTTATTCTGTCTTCCATGCTTGCCATGGCTCTGACAGTCGGAGGTTCGGGCAGTCTTATTAAAGCCTAAACCCAACGCCCTAAACTCCGAACCCATCGAATGAGAGCTTCTTCAGATCTGACGAGGAGCTGCTCTGACTGCTTAAGGCTCAGGGGAGTCGGAAAGTGGGGTGATACTTGGGACTATGAGTTCCCTAAGTGGGGTTTACTTTACTTGCAAGCCTGAACCCGTGAGGCTTGGGACCTTCAGGGTATTCCGCAGCTTGCCATTCGGATTATCGGGTGTTGTAAGGCTTACTGTTGGCATACGAGTTCTAGAATAATATAGGCTTTTACAGAAGGGATCTATAGTCAGGCTAGTCGTGAAGACCCTCGATGAATAATCCGTCTTTCCGTGAAAACTTTCATCTCAGGATCCTATGATGATCTATCTTGAAGGGAGGGCGGGCCTTATAAGGTTCCTTGAACGGTCTTTTCGAGGGTTTTAGGGTTTTAAGAGGGTTTCAAGGTTTGAAGGATATAAGTTATAAGATACGGGTCTTGGCAATTTCAATAAGATTTTAAGACCTTATCTCAACTATGTATGAACAGGAAGGGGGGGAAGTATCACCATTCTTCCGAGCTTTACAGTAAACCATCTTTGAAAGTGGGCGTGCCAGCCGCCAAAGCACAGGACCCTTCCCTGCCAGCCTGATTCGAAGCTCGAAGTCTGGACTTTTCAACAAAAAATCACGGCAGGTCTACAGTTAGAAATGAGGTACTGCCCCCATACAGTAAGAGTCTATAATAGGGCTACTATTAAGGTCCTAACATATCTATACTATGATTGCTATTCAACTATTACTGAGTGGGGGCCGTACCCAAGTTACAGTATCCTTGATTGAGGAGACGGGGGTTCCTGGCGAGGTAGATAACCAAGACATCCCAAGAAGGTGTCCTAAATATCCCTTGTACCCTCCCCCCCGAACTACCCTGTCGGTTTGGGATTACATGTAAGACTTTGTGAAACCTAAACTGCACTTGTCTCCAGGCCGAGAGAGCTACGATCTGATCGGTCAGGCGAGGGGCAGAAATAAATCTTCACTCCCCACCACAGGTTCTTCACGATGCACTCCGCGAGGTAGACCAGGAAGAAAACCTGGGGTTCGCCACACTAAACCACCCGAGAAATGAACAAAATGAGCCAAAACCAAATAAGCTAGACCCTAAACCACGCTAAAATGCAAACCCAAACCCTAGACCCTGACCCACCGAAAACTTTAAAGAGTTGACTACCCTGAAACCTGAAGCCTATGCATCCCTCAACCCTAAAATCAAATCCTGAAGCCCTAAACCTAAACCCTATAGACTGCAACCGAGGAACCATCTAAGATCTCCAAATTAATGTGGCGGCCCGTTTAGGAATATGGGCCTATTTAATGCTTTTTTCCTGATTCAAGCCGGGAACCCAAAAAATAGGGCGGCTTAATTCATGTTTTTTTTGAAAGGGAAACTTTTTTTGGGTGTGACTGTCTGCTGATGGTCAGTCTTAAGGCACCCGCGACCTGGGGGGGCTGCTCAGGCGCTGGCTAAATGCTTTGCTTATTGGGGGGATGTGCTCACTGGCCTTATGCTTTGCTTATTGGGGGAGTGTGCTCGCACGACTACTGTACTAGTACTGTACTACTACTGTACTACTTCTGTAGTACTACTCTACGACTATTGTACTACTGTACTACTATTGTACTACTACTGTACTACTGTGCTACTATTGTACTACTTCTGTACTACTACTGTACAACTATTGTACTACTGTACGACTATTGTACTACTACTGTACTATTACCATACTATTTTCTGTACTACTACTGTACTACTGCTGTACCGAACCAGGCCTCAGACGTGGTCGATTGTGGAGGGGAGTGTAGGTTGGAGGCAAAAGTGTTCAAAATGAAGGGTTTTTGGTCTTGGTAATTATCTTGGAGTGATCGAGGTTTTGGTTTCGAGCTTTTGGTGATCCCCCAAACCCCGAAAAAAAGCTCAGGGTACTCCTAAACCCTCGTGTGTTTCGTTTTTTAAGTGTTAGGAATGAGAATTGCTTGCCGAATTGTTTCGCTTATTGGGGCTTTTGGAAGGAAAATCTCTTGCAGAATTGTTTCGCTTATTGGGGCGTTAGGAATGAAAATCTCTTGCAGACTTGGTACTGTACTACTGATGCACTACTACTGTACTACTACTGTACTGCTATTGTACTACTGTACGGCTACTGTACTACTACTGTACTACTACTATACTACTACTGTACTACTACTGTACTTGTACTACTACGATACTCCTGTACTACTATTGTACTATTTCTGTACTACGACTGTACTACTACTGTACGACTACGGTATTACTACTGTACTACTGCACGACTACTGTACTGTTACTGTACTATTTCTATACTACTGCTGTACCGCACCAGGCCTCAGACGTGGTCGATTGTGGAGGGTGGGAGTGTAGGTTGGAGGCAAAAGTCTTCAAATTGAAGGGTCTTTAGTCTTGGTAGTTATCTTGGAGTGATCGGGGCTTGGTTTCGAGCTTTTGGGGATGCCCAAACCCCGACCGCGCATTCGCGCGGAACCAGCCCCCAAACCCCGCGTTCCTTGCAAAACACCGTAACGAAACCCAGTGCGTGAGCACTTCCGAATCTCAAGGTCGAAGATCAATGCAAAGCTCTCAACAAAGCCGTCCATCTTCGAATGACGGAGTGCTTGTATGCTACACAAGGGCAGCGAGACCGCAATATGAATAGCAATGGAACCCAATCCGTGCAACGCGCAACAGCCAGCCCTGTTTTTGCTGTTACAGGTCCTGCTGGGCAAGGGCTTTAGCATTGGGGCTGGAAGCCCAAAAAACCTCAACTGGACACTAAACCTGACACCCAAGTCCGGGCCCCTTCTAATTAACTTAATCAAAGCCACCCAGACCCTGACCCCGGTCCGAAGGGTCACTGACACCAGACTATTTGAGCCAAAACTTCTGGTCCGAGGGGGGGGCGGTTTAGGGTTTAGGGTTTAGGGTTTAGGGTTTAGGGTTTAGGGTTTAGGGTTTAGGGTTTAGGGTTTAGGGGGGCCTTACTATTCGGGCCGCAACGTTAAGCAGAACAGTAGCAAGAATGGCAAACATGACCATCGCGGTACCCATAATACCATCTACAATGTTCGTAAACTCTACCCTAAACCCCGAACCTAGACCCTAAACCATCACAAACCTAAAAGATCATGTTAAGACCGTGAACGCCCTAAACCTCAACCCTGAGGCTCGAAACTGTAGCCGAGCTACACGGTGTAGGGTTTTTGGGTAAGATCTCCATAACTTAGAAGGGGCCCCCACCCTGTAATAGTGGTATAGCAGGAATATAACAGGGCCCTAATATAATCTTATAGTCACTACTATTATAGGGTGGGGGCAGCTTCTAATCCATAACCATCACCGCTAAGGTAGTAAGCTCTGAAACCCTAAACCCCTCACCTAGACCTTTAAAAACCTCAACCTTTCTTTTTTCCAACTGGCCTGCTGTGACTCCGCCAGGAAAACCTCAACCCTAAACCCCTAAACATGCCCCCCAAAACTTGCAAACTGCAGTTAAGGGACAACCTCTAAGATCTCCCACGTCATGATGTGCTGTGGATTGTCCGCTCCTTGTCAGCAAACGGCTCGTCGGCCCCAAAAACAGCTCCGAAGGCTTTGGGCTAAGGGCTTTAATTTAGATTCAAGGGTTCTTGCCCTCGAGCTACGCCCACAAGCCAGGAAGACTTAAATAAAGGGCTTAATTCGGGTTTAAGGGGATTGAGGCGTTAGGCTTTTAGGGTGTATTAGGGCTTCAGCACACTCAACTAGGCCCAGCCGGGCAAGCTCTTGTTGCGAAGTTTCTGCGAATATGTGCTGCTCGACATCATTGACAAACATTGGTTACTACATGTTTGCATGATTCTATTTCTGCACGATTGAAGTTGTTCTGCAACGAGAAGTGCACAACCTCTATAGTAGAAGCCCAAAAGCTGGACACCCCATTGCCTCTGTATAGGGAATCCCAGCACTATTTGACCTTAATCCGGTTTCCAACTTTATGGGGTTTACTGTATGGAACCCTTAAGGTAAAAGCCAGAAAGTTGGAATATGATTATCCTAACCCTTCTATGGTAAATTATAGGGTATCCTACCATGAAACCATATTCCAACTTTCTGGAGTTCCCTGTAAAGGAACCCGGTGTCGACTTGGAGGTTACGGAAAGCTTGACCCTCCCAGAGACGCTTGGAGCGTCGAGCACAGATGCAAATCAGAGTTTCCGAACTTTTGGGGTACCTTGTTTTGGGGTCCTTATAAAAAGGATCCTACTATTTGGGGTACTATAATATTAGGGTCCCCATTTTCGGAAACTCCCAAATGGTCAGCAGAGCTCTCGCCGGGTTAGAGTTTCACCTTTGGGTCTCGGCGCTCAAACTCGGACGCTTCAGGCAAGGCATGTTTCCACACCGTGGTGAGGTGAGAGATCATGGCGGCACAAGCACTCCAAAACAGCTTACGGTTTAGTAACTTAGGGCTAAACGACCAAGACTCCGATGCCGATCACGATAGCATTGACCGCGATCACCAGCACAATGCCCACATCTAGGCCCTGTCAGGGTGCGACGAAATATGCCGAAGCTTGAACAATTGCAAACCTACTCGTACCATGCTATACCAACTATCTTGTACCCCCCAAACGCATAGACGGCGTACGAAAGCCTTCGTGATTACATACAGCTCCCGAGCAACGAACAAGCACCGGATGTCCCAAAAGAAGATTCCCGAAGACTCTGACTCTGAGACTCGGATTTCAGGGTTTCCGAAAATAGGGGACCCCAATCTGGTAGCCCAAATAGTAGGGTCCTTCTTATAAGGACCCCCCCAAAAATGTACCCCTGATTTCGGAAACTCCCAGACAAGCCTTGTCCTCACCTTGAAAGGTTGGATCGTTACTGACAAAGTACTGCTGTATCATATTATTCGGTTGGAGGGGAGGACGGCAACCTAACATGATTACTGTTGTTATTATTACTATTGTTACGAGTACTACTATTGTTCCTATTATCACTATTCCTGCTTTTTAGTGATAACTTACCACTATTTTCAGGACCTCCCGACCTGCCGGCCTTTAAAGGCAACGAGCTAACTCGCCTGAAGCCCCCAAAAATGCTCAACTGAACAGCACATGGAACACTTACAGGATCTCCGAAAGCCTGAACCTTCCCTAGACCCGTTTCAGGGAATCTCAACACCCAAGGCTCAGGGTTCGAATCTAGACCGAGGATAGATGTCATGCCTGTTTGCGAATGCATTCAGACAAAGGCAATACTTGCTCATCACAAAAATACAGTCGTACCTGGAGATGATAGACCTCACAAGATTGCATCCGGGTCTCCCGGGAATGGAGAGTAGTCGGCTACTTAAGCGCCCGCAGAACCATAACAGCAATATGTGGCTATTATGTTAACGTATGCTAAAGTGAACATCGCAAGTAATTCCTACTAGCACTCGGGGCTATGCCCCGCATCCACCGAAGCTTAGCTCTGCCTCACAAACACTCGAAACTCGACGCTGAAAGAAATGCTGGGGAGAAGCCTCCTACATTTTCTCGGAGACGTCAATCCCACAACCTTAGAACTCCCTGAAGCCCCTGAGCTCCAGTACTCCTACAATCTACAGGGCGTAAAAACTTGGAACGCAAGGAAAGGCCTCGGTAAGGTAGGCTTGCCTTTGCCTCTGGTTGAATTTGGCCTGGGGCTGAGGGCCGGGTCCCCACGACTGGGGGTTCATGGTTTGGGGGCCTGGAGACCTAAAGCGGGGAGGGTGCGGGGGGATGGACTGCATTGAGTTGTGCAGCCAGGTTTGCAGCACGAGGGCTCGGAAGGCACCAAGGCAACCCGAAAAGTGGAACGATCACCACGACGACAGGACACTTCGAAACGATCAGAACTATCCTTCAATGACGCCACGAACTCCTGCTGTCGTGCAGTGATGATGTAGCCTCGTCCTCAGCAACAGCAACACAACATCGCCACATGACCCGCAGGGCCAGCCACAATCTGTAGTCAAACAAGCGAAGGACGGTCATATCGCGACCGTGGGCACCAGGATCATCAACACCACCATGAGCATAATCATACGCATCATAACATTAACCATCGTCATCACCACCATCACCAGTGTAATCGTGCGTATGCAGAGAGGTCGTGAACCTCATGGCCATTATCATCACCTTGGTCATCTTCACTGTCGTCACCATCAGCTCAAGATCCTTCTACTTTGTCGTCCGAAGCCTTGACCTTTCTCTGGTCGCTCTGATGAGCAGCAAAATGTATTCTACACAGGCGGGTTGCTGACTTATATTCACAGCGATACCGGTATGATAATTGAAACTATTCCAAAAACTGCTGCGGTCATCGAGCCAGTAGGCACGATGGCAGCAGGCACTGTGGTGGGGCAACTGGAGTAATCTTCGCAATGCCAGCTGCGTGGCAATGTCCATGCGAATGATGGCCACTACAAGCCAGCATCTTCAAGCTTTACGTTGCTGTCATGGATGATTAGGGCGAAGAAACAGGGGATTCAGGTCGTTAGGACCAAGCCTTTTACAGTCTTGGATCACAGCATGCAGTGCTTCCATTGGATGCGACAACATTCGATCGTACTCGTACATGTGCGGCACTCTCAGCCCTAAACTCACCAAGCCCAAAATCTCAAACCGTCCGCTGTAAACCTCTCACCCCCAAACTCCAGGAAGCACCAAGAAAACTCTTCAACCAGAACTCTAACGCTCTGGAAACTCCGCCTGAGGCCTCACAAACAATCCCGCGAAATCGACAACACGAAGACTCCCAACAAAAACGCAGGCCGCTTGAGGCCCTATATAGTATCTATATATTCAGGAAACAGGCGGTATAAGTCAGGGTCTACATTGACCCTGCACTCCGTCTCTAAGACGCTAGGCTGCCGGCTTTATTCGTCTCGAACATGTGTTGGTCCGATTCTTCCTGTGGGCAAGATACGGCTTGAAGAGGCTCCAGGTGCTCCAGGTTCAAGGTCACAGGCTGTGGTTCGGTGAATCCGTATGACAGCAAGTGTCACCACAAAGGACGAGTGTAGGTAGAGTAGATGAAGACTCTATTATCTTCTTATGAAGGGACGATTCCTATAACGAGGATGAAAACAGGCAGACATGCACACACTTTAAGACAGAATACATACATACACGTACGATGAATAGTTCGCCGCATAATTACATGTCTAGACACATGTACATGCATGCATGCAGACAAAAAGACAGACATACATACATGTATATGTGATGGCGGACTCGTCGAGCGGCAACTATGATGTTTATTTTGCCCATTTGTTGGACCTCAGTGTCCACAAATACGCACCAGGCGTCAAAGTGTCCTAGGCTGCGGCGTGAATTGAACCCAGAGCTCCGCTGAAGCTAAGCAGCTAAGCCCGAGCCCAAACAGCTAAAACCCTAAACCCCTGCCAGACCACGGACTGGAAGCCACTCAAAAAGGTCAACCCGAAATCCTGGGCCTCTTCCGTTGGATGACTCCAACACCCCAAGCCCAAATGCTAAACTGTGAAGTTCTGCTCCCCGTAGCTTGAAACGGAACGGAGCTCGGGGGGCAGTTACCCAAAAAACCGCAAGGGGCCCCTCTAAAATGGGGGTGAGGGGGTCCAAAATACAGACTGCAACTTCAAAATGCTCCTACCCCAAAAACCCCCATGCGTCAGCAACAGCGGAACATGCAGAGTATTGCAATGAGGCAGCTCGCGCTCCATTGCACAATGTTCATCAACAGGTGGGTGATACTCCAAACCCAAGCGCCAAAACTGCAACCTAATCCCTAAACCCCTGAACCCCCAAGCCCTAAACCCCGAAACCCTAAACTCCAAACCCTAAACCCTGTCAGCAACCCTAAACCTTAATCAAACCCTAACCCCTAAACACTCACAGCCCCAGCCACAGACCTCCAGAGCCCTGCGAAGAGCCGCCAGCGTCCCGACGAGCTCGTCAGGCGCCTTTCGGATATTCGATTTCGGGACTCGGGGCTTAGGAGTTAGGTTTTTTTTTTTTTTGAGGGCTCTTTAAAAAAAAAAAATGGGTTTAGGGTTTAGGGTTTAGGGTTTAGAGTTAAGGGTTCTGGGTTCAGGGTTTAGGACTTGGGGTTTAGGGGTTTAGGGCTTTTAGGGTTTAGGGCGTAGGGGTTTGTGGGGTAGGGTTCAGGGTTTAGGGCTTAAGGTTTAGGGTTTCGGCGATCACAATCGGACAATCCAGGTGAGGCATATGGTTCGAGGTCTGACGAGTGAAACTGCAACTGCTCGGGACTGGGTTTAGGGTTTCGGCGCTCACACTCGGACGGTTTAGGGTTTGGGATTTAGGGCTTAGGGGTGTAGGGTTTGTAGTGTGATCTTCTGTGGTGGTGGTGGTGGTGGTGGTGGTGGTGGTAATAGCGCTGGTGCTGGTGCTGCTGCTGCAGCTGCTGTTCCTACCCTACTATGCGGGTATAACCTCTCACAAAGGGGGCCTCAGAATTGGAAGGAACTCGTGGAGTAATTATGGAACAAGCCTAAAGCCTCAGACGAAGGAGATGGTGATGCGCACAGGCGAGGCCTATGGCGTAGATTGCCCTCTTCTACAACCATACAACCCTATAGCCAAAAACCCAATTTCCACGACCGAAGCACTTACATGAATCCTACAAAACCCCACACCCAGAATTCCACCGGCATGTGCCTCGTCAAGAAGATCAGGGTCCGAACCTTTCTGGGAACGAGGGCTTCTTTCTTCTAAGGTTTGATAACCGGCGAGAAGGGATGGTAGGGCTTGGAGTGTTAGGGCTTTGCGGGTTTAGGGCCAGTTGTTCTTTGAGGGGGGCTCATGGTGCTTTGTATGCAGTTGGGTCCTACGCTTTCGTATCGATCAACAGATACTTGTATGGGCATGCTCAAGCACTACATGGCCCTTACAAAGTATGAGGCTCTACACCTTGCAATGTGAGAACTAATGCAATGTGAGAACTAACTAGGATATGCGCCAGAGGCTCTGTAGGGTTCCGTTTGGCCCTCAAAGGAACCAGCACAAGCTTACCTAGCCTTGCCTCCTAGACACCCGAAGCTTCCTGATCTTCTAACAGTGTCGTGGGAAAACTCGCCTCAAAGAGTCCTCGGGATCGTCGTGGTTGCAGCAGGAGCAGTAGCAGTTGATAACAATAGCAGCAGTAGTAGCAGCAGTACAAGTAGTAGTAGTAGTAGTAGTAGTAGTCGTCGTCGTAGTAGTAGTAGTAGTAGTTGTTGTTGTTGTAGTTGTAGTTGTAGTAGTAGCAGCAGCAGCACAGAGTAGTAGTAGTAGTAAGTAGTAGTAGTAGTAGTAGTAGTAGTAGTAGTAGTAGTAGTAGTAGTAGTAGTAGTAGTAGTATAGGTAGTAGGTAGTAGGTAGTAGGTAGTAGGTAGTAGGTAGTAGGTAGTAGGTAGTAGGTAGTAGGTAGTAGGTAGTAGGTAGTAGGTAGTAGGTAGTAGCAGTGGTAGTAGTAGTAGTAGTAGTAGTAGTAGTAGTAGTAGTAGCAGTGGTAGTGGTAGTGGTAGTAGTTAATCAACAGTGGAGCGGGGTGGCGCGAAGCGAAACTCCAAATGCCAACCTACCCAAAGGCTCCATGTGCCCATATAGTAGGTACTTAGGCTTTAAAGTACCTATATAGGGACCTCTTTAAGGCCTAAGGGCCTACTATATGGGCACATGGATCCTTAGGGCTAAACCGCGCATCCAGCTCCAAGTCTGCGGCGGAGACAGAGGAAGCCGCGGAGATCCAGCTCGCCCTGACTCAAGGCATTTTTAGGGCTTCCGCAAATTAGGGGTACCCTTTTGGGGAATCCTTAAAGCAGGGATCTTACTATTTGGGATATTTTTTTTGAGGATTTTTAGGATCCCCTATTTTCGGAAACTCCCATTTTTAGGGGTTTTGAAGTTAACCTAGCCGAATCTAGCCACTCTCTCTGTCTTGGTCTTGAGTTTATCATGCTCACATGGTCCAGAAGACGCAAACGCCCACGGATACTCCTGGACCCTTCAGCAGAAAAGCTCGCTACGGGTTTACAAACCCTGACAACGACGGCCTGGACTCTACCCAGACACCCGTCTTCCAAACCCCATAAGCACCAGGACCTATCTCAACACACCCACAACCCGACCACCAGCAACTCGAATCATCACAACCAGTAGCTGCTGCTTAAGGCTTAGGGTCAGGAGGTGTAGACATTGAGCGGAGACAGGCCTTCATGAAGTTCGTAACCTAAGCACCTCAGACATGCTCCACAGGTATCCCCCAACCCCAAAACGCCCTGAACCCACAGACCCTAAACCCACAACCCATTAAAACCAACAACCACAAGTCCAGATATAAACCCTTAACTAACCCTAAGCCCGACCTGAAGGACCGAATGACCCTTGAAAGTAGAGGCCCTGTACCCATATATTATGAATCCCTATATTGCATATGAGCCTTAAGCCCTTTTAGGCTTCATTTCGTCCCTAACGTATAAAGAACAAGACTGCAAGAGAGGCCTCGACGTTGACGTCGGCGCGAGATCTCCCTCTTCTCATCTTGCCCTGCTCTGGCTGACCCGAGGTATCCTGCATGTTCTCTTTGTAGGGTAAAGGTTTTCGGGCTTAGGGTTTGTAGAGCAACTCTGGTTTTTGTATATCATACATTATGCTAACATACAACTGCGTTTCATGGTATGATACGATCTTCTACCCACTCTCACACTGGCACGGGGGCGAGGCTTCACGGAAGAAGTATCCTACTACGATTTAGGATTTAGGGTTTGGTGCTCTGTGGGGCTGCTTTGCTTCAGGATACAGCGCTGCGGGCCTCGTAGGCGGAGCGTTTACCTTAAAGGATATTCCTCTCTGTGGCTGTTGCATGATACTGCACAATCTCCGATTGCCTGAACTAGCAGAGAGAGAGAGAGAGAGAGAGAGAGAGAGAGAGAGAGAGAGAGAGAGAGAGAGAGAGAGACAGAGAGAGAGGAGAGAGAGACAGAGAGAGAGAGAGAGAGAGAGAGAGACAGAGAGAGACAGAGAGAGAGAGAGAGAGAGAGAGAGAGAGAGAGAGAGAGAGAGAGAGAGAGAGAGAGAGAGAGAGAAAGAGAGAGAGAGAAAAAGAAAGAGAAAGAGAAAGATAAAGAGAAAGAGAAAGATATATATATATACATATATATATATATATACACATCTATATATATATATATATATATATATATATATTCAGAGAGAGAGAGAGAGAGAGAGAGATAAAGAGCACATACCACATGCATCATACACGCATGCACCCACGCATGCATACATTTGTACATGCACGTACACATACAGATATAGATACAAACTCAAACACAAATACATGTGAATGTGCATACGCATATGCACGCATGCATACATACATACACACGTACATATGTACATGCATACATGCATACAGTCACAAAAAACATACATGCCCAATTGGTTGCTTCCATAGCTAGTTTAGTAGACAACACAACTACTTACATGCCATGACATACATCCATGCAGGCATATATGTCCCCATCTTCAACAGAACACTCCTGATGAATATTCATTCAACACGAGTGGGGAACACTTGCAGTGTACTCTGTGTGAAGCAGCAGATTCTGTCAGGAGCCTCATAGGAACCCTTCGAGGATTTTCTACACCAGTGCGATTTTGGAGTTGGTTGGCATTTCAGCTCGACTCGACTCTCACGTGTGAACTGTTATCCATACCCGGGCTTCTCCACAACAGCGCAGGCCAAGCGCTGGGGACCAAAAAACGAAACATAGCCTAATCCAGAGCCTCCCCCAGCCGTGAGCTCACGTACTGGATTGCTTTGATGGAGCTGGCCACCGTCACCTGTGCACCTGTTTCAAGAATATAAGCTCTGCACTCTAAACCTAAGCCTCCTTCTCTAAACACCCTAAACCCTATCCACGAAAGCGTCGAAGAGGGCTCGGGGACGTTTAGGCAATTCGGATTACTCAGCTCGCGCGTTGTGGGTTCGAGGCTTCAGATCATGCTGTGGTAGGAGAGCTTCTCGATGATTTAGATTTAAGCATCAGAGACTTTACGCCGTGATATAATATTAAACCGTTCACCGAAGGTTTTGTGTCAAACCGAAAGATTAAGTGTCTCAGGAATGTTGGTTGAAGGCATACTTCCTTGCACTGATGTAGGACGTCTCGACTCGTTTCAGTGGAGCTTCCAGTACCAAAGCCTACTCTTTGCAGGTTACCTCGGAGAAAACTCAGAGAGACGCCTACCCAAAAAGTACTGGTTGGTCTTCAGGTCGGGTTTGTAAACGTTGCAGGGTCTATCGTGCTTACGCTAAGTTTATGACATGAGGCTTCGGTTCCAAGTCGATACTGCCGATGGGGGCTGTAGACCTGAGGGTCCAAATCTTGCTCTGAGGATCCAGAAATGATATGTACATATACGCATATATATATATATATGCACACATTACCACTATGGAGTTAAGCCCCCCACAACCACAATAGGTATGGTCTGGTCGGAGCTAACGATCACATATGTGGACCCCGTGGGTTAGGTCAGAACATTGCGGGTTTAGGCCTTTAGGGCCTACAGGGTTTTGGGCCTAGGGCTGGTATAGTGCAGCAGGGACACTCGTTTTCGGGCTTTTCCTCTTGCACTCCATTCCCCATCTTCATACACCCAGAATTGCAAACACTCTACGGCACTCACCCAAACTCCAGATGCTGCCAAAGAGGCCATGGGTCAGGGCGATGGCTGTCACCTCCTTCGCGGATAGGTGACCTGCAGATGGTACGTCTCTAGAAGCTGCTTCAATGAGTCTTTTCAGGTCCTAGAAAGGCTTTCTGGTGAAGCCTCATAGGATTCCTTCTTCGCTCTTCGCAAACCCTACATCAAGCTGACGGGGTATGGGTATAAAGTCTCATAGGATACCTTTTCGCCCTTCAAAATCCGCTTGCGTCCGGGGAGCCGTTCTTCGAAGTGTCGATGCGCATGAATTGCTCCTTCTCCTCATTGGCCAATTTGTAAGGTCATGAGGGGTACTGGGAACAACGGGCTCATTACTCTGTGTGTGCCGGTTATATGACTGTGTATGTTCAGATATGAATAAACTGAAAACAAGTAAATGAATAGGTGTGTATAAATATACATGCGTGCATATCTACACACAGCATACAAAGTGTGTGTGTGTGTGAAGTTTTTGGGAAATTTTTTTGGTGTCTTAAGATTTGTCTCGGGACTTGGGACTCTTTCTTGGGAGCAGCCGGCAGTCCGAACCCAAAGCCCGAGCGGCTCGAGCGCACAAACTCTCAAACGCCCGAATTCCTGGACTCTGGACGCCCGAGCCGAAAGATATGACCTTATAGTTGTCGAGTTCGTAAGCCCAACGCATCTTAAACTTTCATGTTTAGAGCGAGCTTCATTATCCCAAAAAGAAACGAAAGTTTATAAACTGAACTACTAAGTGACCCCCTAAGCCCTCACCCCGAAACCCAAATGTCCAGCCCCCGCGGCCTCGACCACCCTCAAGCCCTGCTTATAGGCGGAGTCATACTAGAGACCCATGGTAAAACCGCAGCAGCAATAGGGATCACAAGAGCGTTCCTAGCATTGGAACCCATGAAGACAAAGGGCTTAATTTACCAAGGGATCTACGTTTCAGTAGAAAAGCTCCAGGTCGTGCAGGTACTTTTTACGGTACTGACTCAGTGAGTCCCTGGAACCTTCAGATACCTACCCCAAAACCAACACGGTTTAGGGCTGCTACTGAGGTGCCGGATGGTTGCCTTTTTGGCCACTGGGCTTGGGGACTGGCCAGATCCTTGCATCACGGAGCTGCCTAAACCCCCAACTGCCAATCCTCACCTCAAAACTTAAAGCTCCCGGCAAGAGCGGTTCGAAGCCGTCGGGACTCCAAACAATAAAACCCTAAACCCTAAACCCTACACCCTAACACCCTAAACCCTAACACCCAAAACCCTAATACCCTGAACCCTAACACCCAGAACCCTAACACCCTAAACCCTAATATCCAGAAACCCTAAACCATAAAAGCCCCAAGCCCGAAACTGATGCCGCTGAAGCCGAGGTGCGTTTTCGGTGCCTTGCAGATCTGGGTCATCTGCCACGACCTTCAAGGGCTTAGGGGTTTAGGATTTAGGGTTTAGGGGTTTAGGGTTCAGGGCCTCTAAAGGCTTAGGGTCGGGGTTTTAGGCTTAGAGAGGTTTAGGGGTTTTATCTCGATTTGAGTGCGTGTCATGCTTGCGCACTAGCCATGCAAGTCACCATATAATGCGGTGAAATCGATTCGTCATGGAGGCCGCAAACAAATCAACGGGGTAAAGGCCAGTGTTTGATGAAGTGTAGCTAGTGTGCAGCTGGAGTGGCCGCGAAGGCTTTTCGGGGTGCGGGGTGGTTAAGATCTATCAGGCTTGTGGACTTAGCTAGGAGTTGCAATTGAAATTCGGAGGTCGAGCTGTCAAGGAATAACTCCCCCCTAACCTCTCCAAAACCCTGAAACCCGAACCCTCAACAAACGGTGAGGCGTGTCTTGGCACTGGGGGCTGTTGGGACTTGACCAACTTTGGAGATGTGCCTCCGGAGTGCAGCTTGAGGAAGAAGCCTGTGCCTTACATCCTGGAGGAGACCTAGTAAGCATGCTAATTAGACTCCATAGCACGCAGAACCCTAGCCCTATACCCTCAGCCCTCAACCCCTCGTTCCCCTAAATCCTAAACCCAGAACCTTGTAACCTATAACAACAACTCCGGCTTACGAAGTCCCATGAACCTTGAAGCGCAACCGCCCAACACTGCTGTCAAGCCCTACCTAACCGAAAGGTTGAGAACCCAATCAGCTGCAGGCTAGTTTCGTGCAAACCCACCCCGAAGAAACGAAATCTCAAACCGGACCCCTGGCTTCTGTCACAAAAAGGGAAAGTGGGCAACCTGGTCGTAGGCATGACCCAATGGCCTACCGTGAAAGGTGACTGGGCTTCTAGGGAAACTAGGAAGCCACAATAAACAACTCAGCTCAGGTGCACGAGTGACACGTGCATGATCTTGGCACAAGAAGGTGGTAGGCTTCGGGTTATCAGGGCGAAGGGGATCTCTGAGGGCATAAGCCTCACAGCCCTGTGATTAACAATCTTATAGGCCCACATAGTTACCAATACTTATTCACGTTCTTTCCCAGTGTGGCTTGGCGTGGAAGCCTAGGTAGGCAGGTGCAGGGTACTCCTGAAGTACGGAATACAACAAAATAAAATCAAAAGGCCTGTCGAATTGAGGATGTGTGTATTCTTTGATCAAGCGTGTCGGGCTCCCGGTCGCTTCTTCCAAAGCTCAAAGCAGGATTAGGAATGGGCATCGTGCGGAAAGATCGGCACAAGGACTGTTGCCACGGCTATATGGTCCAGGGATGCAGGGCCACGGGGTGTAACCTAGGTTTCGGCCTTTCAAGTCTCACAGCTTGGCTTTGGGTTTACGGCTGAGGGAAAGTCGCGAGAACTACATGGAGACAACCAAGCCAACAAGCAGCGATTGGCCTGCAAAAGAGGATTCCACCATGGTAAATAGACTTACAGACCTAAGTAAGCCCACAGCCCTCAGTTCCTACATTCTGAAAGACTACCCCTCACCCCAACCAAGCTTGAATCATCCTGCCTACAACTGCCCAGCAAAGCATCGTGCAAGGTGAGAGCTGTGCCTACACAAGTACGATTTCTGTAATATGTGTGTATATATATATGTACATGCAAATGAGATGTAAATACATCTAAGCCTCTCTCTATCTCTCTCCCCCTACAGATATGTTTATGTACACTTTATACCATACCTATGTACATATATCTATATATATATATATATATATATATGTAAATAGAGATTGGCTTAACGCATCCCATCCGATGCTTTCCTGAAGCTATGTAAATAGAGATTGGCTTAAAGCATCCTATCCGATGCTTTCCTGAAGCATAAGACCTAAACCGTAACCCTAAACCTAAACCCTAAAGGCAAAACCCTTAAACCCTAAACCCCAAAGGCAAAACCCCAAAGCCCCGGCTGTTGGGGATAACTTTTGGACCAGTTGCTCCTGGCCGCTCGCGTCTCCTGTTTAGGATTTCGGGTGCAGGGTTTAGGGGTTTAGGGGTTTATGGGTTTGGGGTTTTGGGTTTAAGGTGTTGGGTTTTAGGGGTTTAGAAGGTTTTAGGTCAGGTTGCTCAGCAAAGTGCCCTGCAACACCTGCGTTTTTACGCTTCCTTCCCATTGCTTCCGTATGACAATCCCTGAAAGGGTAGGAATTCTTCAGCGCGTTCCCTATCATGGCCTTGATATAGAAGTCCTGGACAAAGGCACTTCCGTGTTGGGGGGCCTAAACCCCTATGTAAACCCTAAAGAGTGTTAAGATAAACCTGAGCCTTGGGGCTTTCGGAGCCCCCCCCCAAGCTCTACGCCCGGACGCCACGGAGCGAAGCTTGTCAGAGCTGACCGGCCCTCGTTGGTTTAGTTGTTTGGGTTTCAGCGCTTCGGGTTTGGGGGTTTTATTAAAGGTTTTGAACCTTCGGTTGGATCGTAGAAATTTGCACCGAACTTGATCCGCAACTCCCAAAGCCCGCAAAGACCCAGCCGAAGTGCAACCTGCTCCAGTACGAGCCTGAAGAACCAATCCTGGACCCCAAAAGTATTGGGCCATTATTTACCTCATTCGGGGGGTTTAGGATGAACTGTGGAATGGTTTGTACCCCATGGACAACCCAATGCCCGTATAGTCCTCAACTGACCCCCAACACCGTCTAGAAAAGCAAACACAACGAATCTAAACGCCAAGCCCTAAAACCCTAAAACCTATGAGATCCTCTAGTAGAAACCTAACGACACCCAACACCTAAACCCCCCAAAGTAGGTAAAATAATGGCCCAATACCCATGAAAGGCTATTATTCTACATACTTTTGGCGTCCAGGTAGTTACATCCACCCACGTGCCTGAGCGGAAAGATTCTGCGATGAAACGGTCGCTTTGCGATCCACAGGGCGGTCGGCGAGTGGTAGTGACTCGGCAGGTAGGGTTTAGAGGTTAGGAGTTGGTGCGGTCTTAGCCTCTGTAGGCGTCATGGCTTAAGGGGGTAGGGCATGGTATGGCCTTGCATGGTTAATAATGATGCTTCAACATTCTGGCTTGTGCTACAGGGGGTTCGAGTTCCCTGCAGAATATGTTCAAGTCGGTTTTGGGTTTAGGGGTTTAGGGTAACCTCGAACATCGGAGATGGCTTATGAAGTGCTGCAGTGCTTCGGCCTTTTCCTTCTCTCGCGGCTTTGTGTTATGCGATCTCGCTAGCCGCTAGCTCATGCTCCGAGGCTATCCACCACTGGCTAAAGTAAAAGCCAGAAAATTGGAATATGATTATCCTAAGCCCTTTATGGTAAATTATAAGGTATCCTACCCTGAAACCATATTCCAACTTTCTGGAGTTTCATTTAGTGTCATTTGGTGAGTCTCACAGCCGCGGGCCAATATTGTCAGTACCTTAAGGACGAAATGAACCCTACAAGGGTTGAAGGTTCATATACCATATAGGGATTCATAGTATATGGGTACAGGGCTTCTGTTTTTAAGGGTCATTCGGTCCTTCAGGTATAGCACTTCAACCGTCTTATGGCTGCCCGTCTGACAGCCAGGACTTCCAAGTTCGAATGCCATCCAAAAGAGATCTGATTTACACCTAAATCCGTTCCTAACCCCACTAGACCCTAATAAATCTGTTCCATAAACCCTACGAAGACCTAAACCATAAATCGTTCCCTAACCCCTATCAAACCCCAAATCCTTACTTAAACCCTACTAAACCCAACGCCTTAAACCGTTTCCTTAGTTGCTGAGTTCATAAGTCCCAGAAAGTGTACAGTTTCAGCTTTATAGTGTGTAAAATTATCCCCAGGAAGTGTAAAGTGTATCCACTCAGCTACTAAGTTTCTGGGTGCCGGGACCGATGTAGTAGCCTCCTCAGGAGGTACATCGGGATTGGCAGTAGGCGGCCGCTTGGTGAGAGAGTACGCGTGCCTGGCTGCAGGAGCTCAGGACGGGGGCCGTTTTTTCTGGGTCCCTAAATACCTCACCCCCCCAAAGTAGGTAAAAAAATGGCCCAATACCCATAAAGGGCTCTTATTCTACATACGTTTTGGGGCCCAAGCAAATCATACATATATATATATATATATTTATTTATTTATTTGGTTAAACACTCTTATTCTAGATACTTTTTGGGGTCCCCAACTAGCCTGGAAACCTAGAACCCTACACCCTAAAACTGGTGAGCAAGCTCTGGGATGAAGTTTGACATTTCGGGAGACAGGCTGGGGCTCTGTGTGATTGAGGGTTTAGGGTTTATGGTTTTAGGGTCTTAGGGTTTAGGGTTTTAGGGCTTTAGGGCTTTAGGGTTTAGGGTTTTAGGGCTTTTGGGTTTTATGGTTTAGGCGGTTTAGGGTTTTGGGGTTTTAGGGTTTTAGGGTTTAGGGTTTTAGGGTTTCAGGGTTTTAGGGTTTTAGGGTTTTAGGGTTAAGGGTTTTAGGGTTTAGGGTTTTAGGATTTAGGGTTCAGGGTTTAGGGTTTTAGGGTTTTAGGGTCTTAGGGTATAGGGTTTTAGGGCTTGAGAGTTTTAGGGTTTAGGGTTTTAGGGTTTTTGGGTTTTAGGGTTTAGGCGGTTTAGGGTTTTAGGGTTTTGGGGTTTTTTGACACTCACACTCGGACAAGCCTGGCAAGGTCTGCAGAAGTAGGTTCGAGTTTAGGATTTTAGGGTTTTAGGATCTAGGGTTCAGGGTTTAGGGTTTTAGGGTTTTTAAGCTTTTTTCCCTCTCACATGGCTGGAAGGCAATGTCCGCTCGCGAGGTCTGACACTAGGCGAAAGAAGCTTGCAGCAATCCATCAGCATCGAAGCGTCGGACTAATTCACAAAAGACTCGGCGGTTACATAGCAGTGTCAGCTGCCTTTCACAAAAGCTTTCACGACGGCAAAAATGCACAATATTACTATACAATTGGTCTCCTCGAAACTGTCTCTCACTGGGGGCGTTTCACCCCATCGGACTATTGTGCCCCTCATTGTGTCACCGAGGGAGTTCGTTAGGGCAGCAGTTTACCCGCGCCAACAACAAAACTCCCTACGGTGACGGTTGCTGTTTTTACCCTGTACTGCAGCCGAACATTCACCAGACTCAGAGCCCATGACCAGGATTACGAGAATCGCCAAGGCTTCCAAAAGATCTGTAAAGAAAGATGCCCCCTGGGGGGCAGCCTCTGAACCGACCTGTGGAGTTCAGCCTCTCTTGAGTCACATCCAGCAGAGTCAATAGTGATGCAGATCAGGGAGCCATAAAGCGGTGTGCAGCTTCTTGAATCACCACAAAGAATAGGCGGTGACGGAAATTTTTTTTATTTAGTCCAAGACCGGCTGAGGGAAAAACAAAAACAAAAAGAAAATAAAAATAACAAGAAAAAGGCGGTCCTCAGGACTGGATTTTTTCTCTTTTTATTTCGTCATTTTTCGTCTTTTTTAGTGTTGCTGAGTCGTAGTGGCGACGAGTTGGCGTCACACCTGCTAGCGCCTCACGTCAAAAGGAAAATACGGTCGGCACAACACCCTCCTCAAGTCGTCAGTGCCCGGACGTTTGTAAGCCTCAAAGAGATGCTCAGCTTCATCAGGGTCACCACGACGAGGATACTGAGAGCTTCCCTCCACAAAAGGGAGAGCGCCAAGAGGTGGGTTATCTCCACGATGGAGACGCCAAACCCAAACGGCGCTAGGGAATGAGGCAGGAAGCTCATCAGCAGTCAAGCCAGCCCGGATCAGCCGCTTCACCACTCCAAGTAATCAAAACGCTGTGAAGATTCAGCGCCTTCGCTAAACCCTCGCACGCCACTCTGACAGTCATGTTGAAGAAACACTCGATGTAAGCAGCTGTCACTCTGGCGGCCAACCTAGAGCGACGCGTAGCCCCATGTCTAGACAAAGGCTTGCATCGCTCCAAGTACAGCAAAATGCTGAGGCCGTGATGAGCAGCCTGATACACAACCCTGCGTCCACGCACCTCAAGAAAGAAGCGACTATTATATTCCACCATTCCTGCGTCAGCTTTGCCCTCGCCCCTCTTGAAACTTGACACCTTCACGTCCATCCCGACGTGACTCTGATAGAACTCGTCGAGGGCTGAGGGATTGAAGTAATCTTCACATGCAGCTGGTAATCCAACCTTATTATCGTCCGCAGAAATTGATATGGATACTAAGTCGCAAAAGCCGTCGATGGAATCAACAGACAAACGATCAAAAATCGCTGATTTAGTTGAGTGTGGCAGACGTTTTTCGATAACGTGATAGAAGGAAGCCATGATTATAAGAAAGTGCACCACTGAGTCAACCTGTGCAGTGCCCAGCATGCCAGATTTGACGGCTTGGTTCGTGTAGATTGATTCCCCGCATAGGCAATGCACAACGGCGTTGATCACACCACAAATCAACCCGTTGACCAGCTTCTTCACCAATCGCTACGGGTTTAGGGTTTCGGGTTTAGGATTAATCCGAGCTAAGGAATGAGCACGGTCGCAGCAACACGTTGCATAGTGGAACGGTGTTGCCAGTCCTCTTCGATTCAGCATCTCAACTAGAAGCGACAAGCTCCGGACAACCAAGCAACATGATACAATAATAAAGGTCTGAAGGATTCGAAAAGGGTTTGGGACAACGATCTAGGGACTTTCAGGGGACACCGTAAAGCACTATTCAGAGGAAACTAATTCTGATTACTCCAGATTCAATATTTGGTTTCACCTGTGACCAGAAGGACATGTTGGCCTGCACTGCGCTTATGGAATTTCTCGCCTGCGGGGAAAGCAACCAATCACGAAGTGTACAGTCCCGAGGGTTGCAAGTTATGACTGGTTGCTGGAAACTGTGCTTGCCTGTCCTGGAGTAGAACAAACTCATGCAGGGGTAGGCATGCAACCACAGCAAAGCCGATGCAATGTCAAATGCGACACAAAAAATGATGCAGGCTCTACGGCGCAAAACCCTGAGCCTGTTGAACAAGAAACTTGGCAAGGGAGGGTGTTTCAGAAAAACCGGCGCCCAATCAGAAACTTAGAAGGTCTATTTAAGATCATAGTGCCGGTAGTACAGTGACCCCTAAAGAAGGGACCTGTAAATTTCTCCGACAGCGACAGCCTTACAAGCCCCTGCAAGAAATCTTTGACCCGGAATCCCCATCGAAACATACAGCCCGGTGGCCCACAAAGTCGCGGAGACCGCTGGCCCACCGAACTGATCTCATTCCTTACTTCGATTCAGCTTCCTAGTTGCTAAGTGTACACTTTCAGTTTTGTAATGGGTAGTATTGTCCCCAAAAATGCAAAGTGTATCCACTCAGCTACCAAATTAGTAATTAGGGTTTCCGGTTTTAGGCTTTGCTGCTGGGACTTCCGGGTGTGCAACTTTAGTTGTTGTCCCCAATGGAGTTTCAGGGCCCGCTGCGAGTCCGCAGGGGAGTAGCGCACTGTCGCTATCCATCGTACCACTGTACCACTATGGGCTATTAGACCTTATGGGTACCTTAATCTACCCTTAATAGGGTCCTAATAGGGATCTTTAGGGTCTAATAGCCCATAGTGTTAGATATTGGAGAAATTTCGCTGATGTGTGACCCTGCATGGCCCGACTACGAGTCCGAAACTCCCAAACTTTACAGTCGAAACCCGTCGCATAGCCGCCTGTGTTCAATACCATTACCATCGCTTCCCAAGAGGCCCCATATGGGAGTCTCCGAAAATAGGGGACCCTAATATAGTACCCTAAATAGTGGGATCCTTATTATAAGGACCCCAATTAAAGGTAGGCGACAGTTTGTGCTAGACTGGGCTCAAGACATCTCAACACCGCCACACACCCCAAACGCTTGCAAACCGCGAAACCCTGGACCCCGAAAGTATGTAGAATAATAGCCTTTTATGGGTATTGGGCCATTATTTACCTACTTTGGGCGGTTTAGGACCCTACATTGCAGGGTCCACACTCTGGACTTCTGAGAACTAATCGTAAACTTCTATTTCATAATGGCACATTTAAGGAACAAACACCCCAAAAAAGTAACATTATGCCCCCAAAACTACAAACCATAGGTTCCCACAGCGCCCTCTTCTGAAAAGTATACACATAGCCCTAAACCCTAATCCCTAAAGCCCTAAAGCCCTAAACCCTAATAGTATGGTACTCCCGAACCCAGGACTTCCAGGCGTGGCCAAGAAGGACAGACAAAGCCCTATGAAACCCTACTAATTAATCAAGCGTCTCAGAAAAAAACGGAACAAAACAGTGAGCAACTCACCACCCCTACGCCCCAAACCGTCCCAAGCCACCCCTTTCAAGGAAGGACGCTGGAGCTTCAGGATGCGCGTGTTGGCTTCTTCGATCACTGCTTGCAAATTCCTGGATGCTGAGAGTCAAAGGGGAAAAGGAGGGACCCTTAATGGGGAGCCCTACCCTATAATGGGCTATACAATGGGTATATCATGGCTATATTAAGGGTATGTACCTAGGGGTCCTTATTAAGGGTCCCTCCTTTTACCCTTGGAGAGAGTCTCAAACCTGAACCCTAAGAGCGCAGGGTGTAGGATTGAAGATGTGTCTGTGACCCTATGATAAATGGTGAGTATTAATGCCTACATACATGCACATACACATATACGGTCATTACATCTTGCTGCCGGCATGGGTGAGTGTGTATATAGAGTTTAAGATACATGATACGTATACACAAATGTGGCCTGAGGTCCTTTGGTTGATTCTTCATGGCTTCGGGTTGCACATGTGTTTGGAATTGCGGCGGCAGGGTTGAACTCACCAGCGACAGCAATCGATGGTGACACATGGCTTAGCGAAGGGCCTTCTTGGCCTCCGAGTTTATGGGTTTTCAACTGAGGGCTACTTCGATTTACAGCTTCAGGGGCTTCTCTGTCTGCGTTTCGATTCTGTGCGATGGCTGGAGTTCAAGATGCTTCTGGTATTCAGGTGCTTCGAGACCTTCAAGTGTATGCCCCCATGGTGGTTTTACTCAGAGAGCCAGTATCCAAGGGTACAAGGACAAACCCTCAATAAGGACCCCTAGGTATATAGCCTTACTATAGCTATTATATACCCATTATATAGCCCAGTATAGGGTAGGGGTCCTCATTAGGGGTCCCTCCTTTTCCCCTTTGACAGTAGTTTGGGGAGTTCAGGTCCAGCCTTCTGTGGGCACACAGGAAGAGGGTCTGGGGCCTCGGGGTCAACCTTCAAGATTTATGTAAGCCCCTTCTTGCTACTGGCTCAAGTCTAACTTCCAAGGTTTAGGCTTTAGGGTATATAAAGTCCCTAAGCACTAAACCCTACACGCTCATGGTTACGACTTGGGGCGTTTAGGTCTCCAGGTTCCAGTCCCGACACTCTCAAACCTGTAGTCCGACTCTCCAAGCACTAATCACTAATCATAGGGACCCCTAGAGGGGTTAGGGGGAGGGGGTGGGGGACTATATTTCCATAAACAGGCCTTGTTACGTCCTTATTCTGGGCATTAAGGCCCCCTGCCCCCCCCCCTCCTACCCCCCTAAGGGTCCCTATGAATTACTATGCTGCGAGGGCCGATCACTGACTGACAGAAAACCCTGAACCATAAACCCTAAATCCTGAACCACAGACGCCCGGGGCCGTATATCCTACCCACATCCTAAATACAACACTGGCAAAACCAAACAACGGAACTGTCGTTGAGACTGTAGGTACAACACCCTTAACCCAGGCAAGTGGCTGAAGTTCATTGGACACGACATTGAGGAAGGGATCCTTCGGGTTGTTGTCCGCCGGCGGGTTTGCCTTGGTTTAGAGCTCACTAAGGGTTCTCTAACACCCTAATCCAAATTATCAGCGTCCGAAACAGTCCCCTGAAGCTTTTTGCACCTCGAAGCTCAGAGAAGCTTCTGCTGTAAGCCCTCAAGGTCTTCCTGAAGCCCTTTTGCATCAGCCTGCAAAAGCCTCTGCTGGGAACTAAATGAGCGCCCTATAAACCCACAAAGCCCGAAGCCAAGCTGCAGCAAATATCATCTAAATCCCAAAGCCCTGAACCTACCAGCCGCCTCTTCGGCGTAAGCATTGGCTTTAGTAAGCATCACTGGGGCAGCGATCGTTAGAATGCAGTTCTGGGGTACATTATGCTGTAAGTCTTCCTCGGGACTATCATGGGATTTGTTGTCCTCGCTTTGTCCGACCCCGGATCGTGTAGTGCCAAGTTGTTCCATTAGATTTACTACTCCAGTGTTCGAGCTTGCAATCTACCCCTCTCTGCTTGCTCATGCAATGCAGCGGCCTCAATAATCAGACTAGGTCTGTGAGTCATAACGTGGGTCAAAACGTGTTTTAAGTCTTGAGTGTATAGGATCTACAATGGAACAGAACTACGAGTTACACCAATATGTACTTCATGCAACTCTGCTTACTGGCCCACGGCCGCAGAAGGCCACTCCAGGCAGGCTTCACAGAAAAGGAAGGTTGCACGTCTTCAGGGCTGGGGAGGATTAGTATTTGGGTAGTTCTCTAAGTTCGCGTCCCTTTTTAGATCACCAAACTAGTACGGCACCCTTAGAAAAGGACCCTAGAAGGGACGCTAGTTTCGAGAAGTACCCATTAGGTGCTTCAGTGTTTACGAGCCTAGCACCAAGGGCTCCAGGGTTCCGCAAGTTTGCAGCTCGTACTCTTTTGCCTCAGTGAATGAACCCGAAACTCATAACCACGACCGACCCCAGCCCAGCAGAGCCTGCGTTCCTTCGTATGGGGCCTCTATAACCTCTTATGTTTTGGCCAGGGTTCAGAGCTTAGAGCAAGGCCCTGCAAAATGTAGGTTCCTGCAGGCAGATGACGGTAGACCTTGGACCCTAAGCCCTGTGTCCCAGAAGAGCTTCCGAGACGAGCTGCCGGGAACCGCACCTTACTCACTTCCGAAGAAGACTCCATCAACTGGGACATGGCTGGTACTGCCTTCCCCGGGCTCTTCCCCTAAATTCTAAACTAACCCTAAGCCTGCAACCCTAAAAACGTAGCTGGACCCTGAGATTTGTGGCTTCTGGCGAGCGGAAGGATTTCCTTCAAAGGCTACTCAGGGCTTCGGACTCGATGCTAAGGATGCCTCCCAGATCATGCCGCACCCTAAAGCACTCAACCTGGTATCCCTAAACTAAGGCACTCTGAACCCTAAATATCCCTAAACTCCGGCACCAGAAACCCTAAATATCCCTAAACTAAGGCACTATATAAACCCTAAAATCCCAAACATGAAGTCCCAAATCCCAGCGCCACGACCTGAGCCCAGACTTCCATGCTGTGCATTGGCCGTGGGTCGGCCGTCGAGTTCCGAAAAGTAGGCATTGGCTCTTATCCAAGGGTAAAAGGAGGGACCCTTCATAAGGACCCCTAGGTATATACCCTTAATATAGCTAGTGTATAGCCCATTGTAGGGTAGGGTTCCCCATTAAGGGTCCCTCCTTTTCCCCTTGGATCTTAGATTTAGGCTGGGATGCCCGGTGACCTAGGAATAGAAAGGGCTACCTTTTTGGTATTGGGTAACCTTAAAAGGAACCTAGGACTACAAAACGGGAATAAGGGTACTACTGGGCATCCTAGTAGGATGGTTCAGGTCTCAGGGCTTACGGTTTGGTGAAGGTTTAGGGTTTAAGGCTTACTAGGGGTGTAGAGGAAACAGGGTCTGGGGCCGTAAGGTTGGGAATCAATTTTAGGCTTTGGGGTTTAGGTTGTAACATAGTATCTACAACCATCATTCGGCAATATGGTGGTCAAAATGCAATAACAATCCTGGGGGTGTGAAAGGGATTTCACCCCAGTGTCTTCTGAAAGGTCTTGCAAGACTTTTGTAGATGGTTTCAAATCCTGGAAAGGCGGGGTGCTCAATGTGTGGGAGGATGATTAACACCAAACCAAAGCCTTTTGCAGCTGGGCTCTTAGTGTCACCCAAAACCCTTGCTGAGGTTGATGTGTGTGTGTGTGTGTGTGTGTGACGGAAGAGAGCGTTCTCCGAACAGCTCGCAGCAACAAGGATGTCACACCTAGACCCTAAACCCCTAAATCCTAAACCCCTAAACCCTAAACCCCCCAATCCCTTCTTAGGACTTTGTTCCATTCTCGCAACCCGACCCGCCGGGCCGGCTTAGCGTCCTAGTAAAGGGTCGTAAAACTTGGTAGGCAACACGCCTAGAAAATCCCCTCATAAGACTTATCGGGTTTAGGGTTCCCCCCGTAGGAGGCTATCCTATCTAAAAGCCGCGGTTTTCAAGAGACTTTACTCCCCTGAACCCCTTTCCATCAACCCCAAACCCTAAAGTCTAAACCGCCAAACCCGTAAGGCCCCCCCACGGCAAATTAAACCCTAAAGACTCAATCCGAAAAAACCCCCTTCCAAAACCATAATTAAGCCCAAGACCTTTTGCCTGACATATGCTTGGGGTGTGTGCATTTCGAAGGCCGATGGGTCGGCAATGAAGTCTACACGCCCGTAAAAGACAAACTATGCCAAGGACCGCTTCAGCAAAAGGATCTGAGGATAACCCTTACAAAACCCCATCCCAACCCCTACCATAAATTTACCATCCCCAACCCGGAGAACGCATGCGTCGTTTTCCGTGCCGGCGCGTGCCAATGCGAGTCAGCAACGGGCTGAAGACATCGCCGGACAGCCTCCAAGTCCTGCCACTCTGGCCGTAACAGAGGCAGCAGCTGTTACGACTTGACAATGGGGTTTCAGCAAGATCGAGCACTTTGTTGGTGCTTTATGCTATGTTTCGTCAAACGGGAAAAACGGCACTCGTATTACTGAGTAATCAAGCCGGACTTTACTTATTAGCAGTAACGAAAGCAACAAGTTCCTCTTGTTCTTCTTCAGCATGAGACTATTTGTCATTTCTGCCACCTTCATGAAGCAAACACGATTGATGCATGTCTGCAAAATGCGGCAGTTCTTGTGCATGATTGCATGCATGTGCGTACCGATGAATGTCTAGAGTCTACAGTATATCCAGCATGGCATGGCTGATATTCCAGACTCTCCTGGCCCTCAAATCTAAGTCACCGGCCGCATGCTGAAGACCCAGCTACAGCTACTGATCTACTGACGGTGCACCCAAACAGGGTGCCGGATTTTACAGCCGCTTAGCGCTGAACTTAAGGTCTACACATTGTTTTACACCTCGCAGCGAATTGAAGGGAAAGGCCTTCGCAACCTTTCTCTTCTAGAGGTTCGTCCGTGTGAAGCGTGCAACTCGTGTAAGGGTTTGAGGATCTAAGGCGTCTTGAATACAAATTAGGCTTTGTGTCACATGTCCTGACTATACAAACATCGATCACGGCAGCAATCAGGCTGGCGTGAGTGCAGTCGATGAAGAAATCGCTTGATATAGGGGACGTAATAATTTTAATAGGGTTTTGGGGCCCATTATACTATAATTAGAAGAAGGAACCCCCCAAATAGTGTTGGTAACATTTAGGCCCCTACAGTAGATAAAAAGGACGCGCAAACCTCCTTTGCCATCGGATGCAATTCTCTGCCACTCCCGGAAGCACAACATGCAACTTGCTCAACGATATGCCCCTATACCACTGAACCCGAAATGCCTGAAGCCCCTGACCGCCGCATCCCGGTTAAGGTTTAAGGCTTAAGGTTTAGGGTTTAGGCGAAACATCCTTGGGCCAGCTCTTGTTTCGATCATTTTTCTCCGCTGTTGGAAGGCAGCAGTGCAAAGCCACAGTCAGAGGTACGGAACTTGTCACCGCCCTCTATCCGCAGCCACACGGATGTCTCAACAGCCGAACGAAACCCCAAACTCGACCCAAAACCTGCACAACAACAATAGTAATTAGCCGTTACATGCCGTCATAGTCCAGATGTTGGGCTTGCTTCGACGCTAGGTTTGAGGTACATCAAATGCTTGTTCTAAGCCTTAACATTGGGTACGGCCCCCATACAGTAACAGTCTATAATAGGGCTACTATTAAGCGCCTTAGATATCTATATTATGAATATTATCCAACTGTTACTGAGTGGGGGCCGTACCCAACCTTAACATATTGAAACTCTACTCTGAGTTGGGTGGCGTAGCCGCCAGTCCCAGCGTCTCTGCAGCTTTCCGGATCGCGACCTTGTTCCTGCAGATCTGTGGCTTCCGAGAGGGGGGAGAACTTCAGGGACCATGGAGCCTGGGGAGAACTTCAGGGACCATGGAGCCTGACTAACTAAACGCAACCTAAACCCTAAATAGAGGGACTCGATGACACTCTCATCAGGCTTCAGGATGGGCTTCGGGCTCCGGCATATTGGAAAGAAACCCTTGGCTTAAGGTTTATGTGAGGAATATTGAGGAATGAGCACCGAGAAGAGCAACGCTACGGGTTCCTACTCTATTCTGACTCGAGTTCTCAACCCAGTCCGCAGAAGCAGAACCTTCAACCCTAAACCCCAGCGCTCAAAAACGTCACCCCCCAAACCCTCAACCTCGACTCCCATATGATCGAAAGCTCAAGAACCTCGCACCCAGAAGCATGCACAAAACCATGCCGCTTGCAATAAAGGCCTGACAAACCATGTGGGAGTCTCCGAACATTAGGCGTATCTCATTTTGGGGGTCCTTATAATCAGGATCCTGCTATGCAAAGGTACTATATTGGGGTCCCCTATTGTCGGAAGCATGTAAAGCCCTTGGGATCAAAATAGCCCAAAAAGCATTTTTATGGTATGGATTTGGGCCCAAAAGCCTTAATATTTGAGTCCTTAGATCCCCATGTAAAGAAATTGTAAGTCCCAGGTTCAATCCGGTGGGACAGTGCTGCGCAGTGACGCCCGCTTTCGCCTCAAATCGCAGCGAGGTCCCCCAAAGGCATAGATCGGTTCAGGGTTGACAGGATTTTCTATTCTTCTTAGGGTCCATAGCGCGTGGCATGGATGGAATTTGGTGTTTCAGTGACCGTGGGCGACAGTTGGGGTTCAAGCTTGTTTCTACAGATCGGTTCCTTCTTCATGCTTTGTAGAAAACGAAACCCGATCATGCAGCTGGGCCTCTCCACGCAGTTTTATTGCAGTGTGCGTCTGCTACTAGACGGGCAAGAAAGAACATCTTCAAGTTCTCTTCGAGGGCTATAAAGCTTAGGGTGTGGGGGTCAATGTCAGCTGCTCGGGTTGAACGCTTCGGATATTTTTTCCTGAAGGTTTTTCTACCATGTCCGGTCTTCAGGGTTGAGGGCTTGGGTTCTCTTGCTGGTTATGTGGGAGTTTCCGAAAATTTGGGGTACCTAAGTTTGGGGTCCTTATAATAAGGATCCTAATTACTATTTCGGGTACTATATCCCATGTGAGGCCAAGTCTAGCTAATGGTCTAGTTGCCTTTCTTTTCACAGGCTTCTGTGGCCTGGCAGGCTCCACCCGTCCTCCTGCGCGCTTCGGGCGGCCACACATGCCAAACTCCAAGTCCTAAAGCCGAAGTCCAAAAAAACACCTGCTAATGGCACGCAAACATGCCCTTGAAACGGAAGCAGGACTTGAGTGCTACCCAAAACCCTACATCACCTACACCCTAAATATCCCTAAACGCCCTGTAAGGTCCATGCTGAATACCGTAATCCCCAAACGCCCTGGAAGTCCGTTATAAGGCACGCAAAACCTCAGGTGCTCAACCCTATGCAGGAGCTCAATCGCAGGCTTTAGAGTTGTAGGGCATGTCCCCAAACCCTGAAGCCCAGACCCTTGTTTAAGGTCCTAGCTTTAGCATAGGGCTAAACAAAGCTCGAGGAACTGCTTCCTGAATGTTGTTCAAGTCGTCGTCAAGGAGCATCATGTCCTGTCGGTTTAGGGTATCCTGGCTCTTGAGCTTGCCTGGACCACATAAATACAACGCCAAGCTTTCGACAGTAGAGGGCGGATTGTATGTACCTCTGGTTCTCCCTGTAAATGATGATGATCATCGTCAAATAAGCCGAGATCGTGTCACATATTTGGATAATGCTTCGTTTGGCATTATCAGTCCTGCCGACAATTCTGAAACAACCTCGGCCAAGAAACGCAAACCGTGAAAGCAAGAAAAGCTGATCTGGAAGAACGGCCTGTGAAGAGACGCCACCAGTGAGGTGCCACGGGCACACGCTATACCTAACCCCCCCCCGAAATGGGTAAAATACTGGCCCAATATACCCATAAAGGACTATGAGGGGTCCAGGTATGGACTGAGGCCACCTGAAGAACAGGAATTCAAGTCAGTCAGTGCCTATCCAACAAGCCTTCAAGCTACCAGTTGATAGGAGGCCGCCTTCGCAAACCCCATACATAAACCAGAAGCCGGCTTCGGGGTTGGAGTCTATAGAGGAGTTCCCGAAAATTAGGGGTACCTCGTTTTGGGGTCCTTACAATAAGGGTTCTACCATTTAGGGTGCCATATTAGGGTCCCTTTACTTCGGAACCATAGGAGTCTACACTGCGAGGCGTCCTACAAGTCATTCCAAAAATAGACACCCACGAACTGCTTGTCTGCCTTTGCGCTTACGCCGAATCGTGCAGCGAGCGCCGCCAGCTGGCGGTTCCTCGGAATTTGGGGATTAGGGTTTTGGTATGGTTTAGAGTTTAGGCTTTCTGGATCACCCAGCCCTCTTGGGTTTGTAATTTAGGATTCTATAGTAGCTTAACAGAGAAACTGGTGCTGGTATTGTCGTCGAGTCGTTCCCTCTCCAGGGTATCTCTCCATCAAGTGTATGTAAGCCAAATGACAAACCAGAATAGCCACAGTTCTTGGAGTCAACCCTGCATGCTTGCTTTCTCACCCGGCGCAGAACCCGCAAGCATTCCCTACGATGAAAGATGACCATGAAAAGACAAATACCCGTTATAGGTGCTGCCTGAGCCAACTCCTATAGTGAGATGTGGGTCACGATGCAAAGGGAAAGCATCCAACCAAACCTATAGTTTAACAAACCGACCCTATCGAAATGCCGCTCTGACGATGCCTGCCCTTGACGCCATGAACTTAAAGCAGGCAGACTTAATTCCTCAAAGTCCTAAGCAGCAGTAGAAATAAGGCCCAGCAACTCCCAACATCCTGCATAAACCCTAAACCCTCATGGTTAATCCCTAAACCCTAAAACCCTAAACCCTAAAAACCTAAAACCCTAAACCCTAAAATCCTAAAACCCTAAACCCGACAACATCCCCAAAGCACTAACCCTGAAGCGCGAAGCCCGAAGGGACGAAACAAGGCCCGTTCTCCGGAAACTCTTGAGCCCGACCTTTTTTCCCTCCTACAGGGGCTTAGGGTTTAGGGTTTAGGGGTTTAGGGTTTCCCCTTTAAGGTAAATTATAGGGGATCCTACCATTACTCCATATTCCAAATTTCTGGAGTTCCCTTTACCTAGCAAGGACGGACGAAACCCGCATTGCAGGGAGTCTTGAGAGCAACAGTTGTACAACAGCTGAGCCCGACCTTAGTGTTTAGGGTTTACATAGACTAGGCTGTTCAGTAACCCACTGGGAAAAAGTATACACGTTTTTAAGCTTCTTATTTTATAATAGGGGCCCAGAAAACTGAAAGTAAAAAGTGTACCACTGAACAGCCGGGTATAGGCTCCATCGTAGTTCCTTTTTGGGGGTTCATATTTAGACTCGTTTTAAGGTAATCCTGAAAAAAAAAAACAGATTTGGAGGGGACACATCAGGTTGTTTTGTTAGTGCTCCAGGGCTTTAAAAGTTTGGGATTCTTTAGGATTCTGGGTTTAAGGTATAGGGTACCGGCATCTAGAATGACAAGAACCCCTAAACCACAAACCGCGGGGTCGTCTATGGTCTTTGGGTCGGTCATTTGAGCCCTAATTCCAATTGTTCTATCCCTAAACCCCCACTATAGGGGCCTAATACTATTTTGGAGGCTCCTTTCTGTAATGATAGTACAGTGGGCCCCAAAACCCTACTCTAATTATTAAGGCCCCTACTGTACCATTCTAAACTCTGAACCCCAGACCTCTATTCTAATTATAAAAGCCCCTACTGTTTGAAATTCTGAACCCCAGAACCTCAAAACCCTATTCAAATTATAAAGATTATAAAGGCCCCTACTGATTGAAATTCTGAACCCCAGAACCCCACTACTTCAGTTCAGGGTACTTGTTTCCCAGCCAAGCGGAGCCCTCAGGACAGGTGGCGACCTTTGCATGGGACTAGACCCTAAACCCTAAACCCTATACTAGTAGTAATAGCAGCAGTAGTAGTGATAGTAGTAGTAGTAGTAGTAGTAGTAGTAGTAGTAGTAGTAGTAGTAGTAGTAGTAGTAGTAGTAGTAGTAGTAGTAGTAGGCTTTGTGCCTCCTATTTCGCGGGGACGACCCCACATGGCAGGGTTTTTGTCACTCGCACTCGATGAGTCAGGCGAGGTTGCGTGGCAGGGTTAGACATGGGAAGGTTCGGGTGCAGCGCTTAGGATTTACCTGAGGATTTGTCGTCCAATGGCGCGTTTGCGATCGTATCTTGCGACAAGGCCGTCTCGAGTGCATCATGCAGTTGGCGATAAGCTGTCAGAGCCGCCTATAAAACCTCTTCCTTGCGGGTTTAGGCCTAAACTCCTGCCAGAACGTGCCCTCTTTCTTCTGCAGCTTGTTCTTTCGATTCAGCATAAGTCCCTAAACCCTAATAAGCTATGGCGTCGATGGCGAATAATCGAAAGCAGTGGCTCGAACCCAAAACGAAAAGAGCTTCGGGATCAGATTACCCTAGGGCTCTAAGGACTCATACATTAAGGCTTTTGGGCCCAAAGACCATACTATATAAGGCTTTGGGGTTATTTTGATGCCCAGTGTTATGCAGTCGTATCCAAAAAAACCCTCATAGGCAATTTTAAGATCCGAGTATTAGTGCCAAACCCCAGCAGACATAGTTCCTCAATATGGAACCGAAGAGGGGTCGTAACCCCTGTGTATAGAGGCTTTAGTCGCTCCTTCATAAGACCTTCGTAAACACATTATTGGCATGGCTTTACGGGTTTGGGCGTTAGTTTGCCCAACTTAAGGCCCCTCCCCCGAAACACACTGACTGACTCACTGACTCACTGCTGTCACTTGACGCACAGTCTCATCCTTAGCCTATAAACACTCAAAATCGCTAGTATGAGCCCTACTTCACGAAAGAACAATAGCGACATTCGAGATGCACGTTCTGCCGCTCCATCACCAGCCTTGACCTGCGAACAAGTCATGGCACTAGAGACGGCGTGCATCTAGGGTTTATCTGTGCTGTCGTTTGTGTAGGGTTCGGTTTTTTGGACACTTACACTCTGACAAGTCCAGGCAAGCCCTGAAAAGGAGACTGGCAATCATAGAATGCAGTGGGTAGAATGCTGTGGGTAGTGTTCATTTGGGTGTTTTAGGGGCGTAGGTTTAGGGTTTAGGGGCTTTGGTGTTCATAGGAGCGCTTTAGGGTTTACGGTGTCTCTGCTTTGGGCCTTCCTGGCTTTTGGGAGTTAATTGGCTTAAGGTTCGGATGTTCCGGCTTCAGGTGTCAGGCTGGTTCTCTACAATGCGGCCCCCTCCCTGCGAGCCTTCAATAGCAAGAGGACACCAATCTTACAAACGCTATCTAAGTTGGCTTTGTGCTTTATCTTTTTAGGGTTTCGGGTTTTCGGCCTTGGCGTGTTCAAACAACCCAAACCTTCAATCTGAGCAGCCCGCTACCTGGCTAGACCCTGACTTGCAAGGGGATCCAAGCCTACCCAGAAAGCCCAAGCCCTACAGAAGAAGCCTAAAACTTGGAAACTCAATAGCCTCGATCCTTAAGAATAAAATTTCGGGAATCCCAGCACTCTTTGGCCTTAATCCGGTTTCCAACTTTATGGGGTTTACTGTAAACTTAACACTAAAGACCTTAAATCCCGAACCCTTTTTTTGAACCGAGACTCTGGGAAGCTGCACTGCAATCCCCAGACCCTAAACCCCAAACCCTAAAGATCACTGATCTTCTCGGTTCGGAACCTAAAGTAAGAACATGGGGGTGGTAGGAACCTTCGGGCCACAGCACGGGGAGTTAACAAGGAGTATCACGTCTATGGGTTTAGAGTTTAGGGTTTAAGGGTTTGCGGTTTAGGGTCTAGGGTGCGTGGGTTTAAGGTTAGTGACCAGAATCGGAAGAACCACCGCCCAAGATCGGACCTGAAGCAAACACCAGCAAAGAAAACTATGATACCCGGACAAAAAAACTACACCCTACATGACACCTCAAACCCTACACCCTAGACCCTAAAACGCGCCGTTTCCGCCCAACCTCTGCTTGGCAGGGGTCGGGATAATCTGCTGGAGTTGTGATGAAGATGCCATGGTCCTGCACAAGATTTCAGGGCATACGGCTTAGGGTGTAAAGCCAAATCTAGGACCTTGACTACAAGGTTTAGGGTTTAGGTGCAGAGTGATTCATAAACCCCCGTTTGTCTAGGGGCCTCGATGCTAGGATCCTCGTGATACTTCTCAAAGGAGGTGCCACATTGATCAAGAGTCTCACTGAATGATTTAGGGCGTTGGTGACCTCCTGGGGAAAATTCTGTTGCTTCTGCAAAGAAAGATGGACTGCAGGGCGTATAGAGAGTCCTCTCCAAGCGCGAATTGCATGGCTTTGCCAGCAACGTCTTTTCGACCGAAGGTTGCTATTGCCTCAGAGGGTTCTGGCTGCGTCATACCAAAACTCTCACAACGTCGAGCCCAGGACCTTGTACATTGTAGGTTGAGCAAACATGCCTCTGCTTGACATCAATGTTTTCTGGTTGAGGTGAGCCTGTTTCGTGATCTTGCAGGGCGTGTCCCGAAATACTGCTGGTGGCCTCATAAAGCCCAGCAGCAGGGTCTCACCATTTACAACATGTAGGATTTACGAATTGAATTTACGGCTAGAAGTTGGGATATCGAATATAGAGGTTCCCTGAACCGAAACCCTGCTCCGTGTGGGGAAAATGATGCGTTGGACATGTTTTACTGAAGCCCGGGCTGACGCGGCTAGGTTTGGAGGATATTACAAGGGGGTCATTGAATTACCCTTGCTTGGCTCTGCAAGTCCACATAGATTTATAGCAGAACCCACCCGAAAACCCTGTTCTCACTACGGCCCCTATAGAAAGGCACTTTTCCCATCCGGCTCATGAAGACTAAGGAGGGGGCCGACGATTCCATCTCATTTTCTCCGTTCAATGTCCGGAATAACCTACCGTTTTAAGGACTTATATAAAGAAATCATAATAAGGAACCCTGAAACGGTAGGTTCTTCAGGATTAAGGTAAGGCCTATATACGTCCTATGGCCCCGGTAGCATCCAAGGCTTGGAACAGGATACTCTTGCTAGCTCACCTTAGTTGCTGAGTTCACAAGCCCCAGAAACTGTACACTTTCAGTTTTTTTGTGGGCAATGTTATCCCAACAAGTGTAAAGTGTATCCACTCAGCTAAGACACTATGGTAACTCCTCTAAGGACTGTCTGTGTAAGTGGGGGTTCTTTCAACAGTGTACCGGGGCATGGTCAGTATCCAGACTTTCTGAAACTTGTCATTTCCTGCTTGAAAACTCTGTTCGAAGGCAAAACCCTCAGCGGAACACTGTTTAGGATTGGAGCTTCTGAGTTTCAGAGGTGTAAACCCGTTTCTAACGACTCGACATAGTAGGACCCCATATCTTAACAATAACAACACCTGGATACATCCACCAAGACCGTGATACAAACACTACTCATGTCGGTGCATAGACAGGTCTCCACCTCTCCCGATCGCTTGCGGATGGCCCGGACCAGCCACCGGAAGAGCGCTAAGTTGGAAAAGCTTTCCTGAGCTCATACGACATAGGATATGGTATACGGTCCGTAACAAATTAGATTGAGGTTTAGGGCCATAGTTACATAGTCATGTAGATAGAGCATGCAATCTTAAAGGATACTATTTGTGAGGCCTCTATACTAGATGGATGTAGTTTAATTGGGCGAGCTTAGGGTTTGTCAAACTGGGCTTGTGGAAGAATATCTCTTCTAAGTTATCGTGATAAGGATACCTATAATGATTATACGTCGTCCATATCGCTATGGCAGTTTGCATCTAAAAGCCTTGGGACAAACCCGGTCAAAATAAATCCCTGGAGTCCCCCTGTTACACCCTAATCCTAAACCCTCAACCCTTTTGCTACTAGACTCAGTCCAGCGAGTGAACCCCAAACCCTAAACCCTAAACCCTAAACCCCAAACCCCAAACCCAAAACCCTAAACCCTAAACCCTAAACCCAAACCTTATAAACTCCTAAAGGCCCCCCGCCTCGACCACCGGAATCTGCTCCAGAGGTGCATCCTTGAAGGTGCCCCACATATGCTCCTTCGCAAATTCTTCTTGTTGGGGAGCCTGGGGGGAGGTTGGGGGGAGTAGTTGTTTCGGGTCTGGGAGGGGACGAAGTACTTGGGGACTCTTAGAGGCGGGTGGAAAGTGAGGTCTAAGGGTTTCGGATTCCAGAAGCGGCCTCGAGGAACCCCAAAGTGTTTCATTCAGTCTTGCAGCCGATGACCAGATTTCGGAATTTGCGGAGGCTTCGAGGAAGGGCAGCCAGACAAGCTAAACTGCTGAAGGTCATGTGTATAGAGCCACACTACCTCGAGGCGTCTGCATAGTCCCATATTCCAAGCCCCACTCCCCTGAAGTGCGGACGATTCATCAAGTTACATGGGCCCGAAGAGCAGCAAATCACTCTGGCGAAATGCATCTCGAAGTGCCGTAATGATTTAGCAAACTACCGTAACGGGCTTATGGTTGAAGGCACCAGGCATCAGCCAGGCACCGAAGCCCTTTTTTGCCAAGCCCTGCCGCAGTGCTACTTTTGGTTTTGGTGTCAGATTTAATGCCCGTATGATCTGTGCACTGTATTCTAGACGGTCTTATGGCTGTCCGCACATGGCCACGCGACTTCTTTTGTGGGACCTGGGAGATAAGGGCACCGTTTTCCCTAATCCCTAAACGATAAACTTTATTTAAACTTTCTCAAACCCTGCTAGCGCCCCAAACTCGAATCCAAAAACCCTGAAAATTCAGGTCTGAAGCCCATTTGGCTCCTCACGCCCTACAGCAAACAAAAACGAGCCCTCAACCCTACTCGATAGCGATCCTTTGCGATGGTTCTGTCAAAATCCAGAACCAGGAGCCTCCGCATCACTCTTTTTGCTAATCTAAGCTAGTTGCTGGTGTGTGTGTGTGTGTGTGTGCGCTTGTGTGTGTGAGTTTTGTGGGGCTGTAAGCTTGCACGGTGTATTGTACTGTATTGTGTCTATGTTGTCATTCAAACCCAATTCTGGTGCTGGTGGGCGTCTGCTTTAGGGCTTTTGCCGGATCTGAAGGAGGCTTTAAGGCTCAGGAAGTACTGGTCCCTAAACCCTAAACCGACGTTTCTCGGCTGCGGCCTCGCGGCTTCGAAGCCGAAACCCTGAGCCCGAAACCCCAGAATCCTAAATCCTGAACCCTTAACCCTAAAACCATCATAAGCCGAGGATCCCACACCATCCCAAACCCCAAACCACCAGAATCCGCAACTACAGCCAAGCCCAGGAAGCTCCTAAACAAGCCCCAAAAAAGCCTATGAAACCCTGAATATCTAGAAACCTGATCCAGTGCATAGGCTTTCAGAATTTGGCTTCAGGATTTATGGTTTTACGGTTTACGAGTAGAGTGCAGGGTCTGTAGACACATATTTCTGTGGACTCTCACTCTGCGATGGAAAGGCCCGGGTTGGCAGACAAAAACCGATACAGTAAACGCCAGAAAGTTGGAATATCATTATCCCAAACCCTTAATGGTAAATTATAGGGTATCCTACCCTGAAACCATATTCCAACTTTCTGGAGTTCCTTTTAGGACGGTATCGGAGGGCCTTGGGCCTTGTTTTTTGGGTTTGCGAAAGTCTACAGGTTTAGGGTTTCGGCGCTCACACAGGTTTAGGGTTTAGGGGTCTAGGGTTTATAGGGGTTTAGGGTTTATGGTGGCCCTACAAACAATCGATCAAACCTCCAAAGCACCACTGCAACAGAGGCTGTTGCGATTTGGGCGAAGTATCGCGAAGTAGAGTGGATCCAGTTTCGGGTCGAGGGATCTCTTTAGGCGACATCTCTTTGCTGACGATGTCCCGAAACCTTCACCTAAACCCAAAACGCTAAACCCCAAACCCGATACCTTCAGGCCAAGAAGCTAAACGCACGAGCTGGAAACCGAAACCCTCGCACCCCAACGTCTGAGGAGTCAGGCGCAAACAACAGTTTGAAACTATGCGTTCGACATCAAAACAGGACAAGTCAGCCTCCTCCAACAAAAGAAGAAGCCAGCCGAGATCAAAACTTGTCAAGACATGTCAAACAGCTAATAACGTCGTACAGCCCTGGGAAATTCCGAAGGTTTAGGGCTTGTCGGTTTTTATTGTTCAGGGACCAGCACAAAGCAGCGGCACGCCGTTAAAACGCCTTGTGAGAGCCAAGAAGGCTACCAACTAAGCAACAAGCTGAGTTAGAGAAAATCCCATGATTTTGCTAGGGTTTCGAAGCGCTTCATACTTCATGAATCTTCCTCAGGCCTCCAGTAAGTGACATTAGCCGAAACCAGCTGGAGGGAGAGGGGAGAGTAGGGCGCAGTATGCTGTTCGGCCAGGGCTTGTGCCATTTGGACAAAACGAGGTCCTAACGCGCAGCCTCCATGGCGGCGAAGGATCCCGGCTTTCATCGCGGCCAGCGGACGTCAGCTCCTCGTTGTCTGTTTTAGGGATAAGATAAGCCTGAAACTCAAAAAAAACCAAGCCCGAACCTCCACAAGGTTTTTACGATTTCTTATAGTGCCGTGATAACCTAACTTTTGTGAGGTTTTTACGGCGTGTTCTGGACTTCTGTAGGCTGTGCGCTTCGATTTCTTTGCCTTCATGTTTGCTGCTCTGTGCCTTGGGGTGTTAAGGACACTAGGATTCTAGGGTTGGGGCAACCGGGTTGAGGGATCCAGGGCTCCGGATTTTGGGAATTGAAAGGCTGTTTGGAATGGTTTCGGAGGGCGTTTTGGGGTTATGGGCTTTTGGGGCAGGGCTTGAGAAGATATTGTCTCGGGCTTCCTGTATCTGGACTTCGGGGTTGTAGGACCTGGTTCAGCCCCCCGACTAGAAATGGCAACAGCCATCACAAAGTTGTTCAACACAAGCAGTAGTAGCAGCTTTCAATTTTCGTATGGTTTAGGGTTCAGGATTTCAGCAACTATGACAACATACAACCCCTAGCCCTAACCCTGATTCTACAAATTTTTCGCCAACATACGAAAGAGCCTCAAGCTCGTCAGAACATCCACCTTTTTTCTATTGCGCTCGGAACATCCACCCTGAGCCCCAAACTCTAAAATCCTGAACTCCGCAGACTCAAACTCTAAAGAATCTAAACCATTAAGTCCAGCACCCTAAACTGTGTATGATACGGAATCTGACGGAATCTCCCAAACTGTCTGACTCAGTCAGCATCAGTTTTTTTTCGGAAGATCCTGAATGCTAAAATCCGGGGTCGTCCCAGCATGCATCACACCAGCATGAATCTAGTGGGCCCAATTTTTTTATTCTTCTCACATCCGAAACATACAGGAGACACCTTCAGCGCAGCTGACTCTGCAGCCACGAGTTGTTCCAGCAGCACATCTAGGATCAATTGGAGGACTCAAGGTTGCCAAATGGGAGTTTCCGACAATTCGGAGTACCATTTTTTTAGGGTCCTGAAACGTACTCGGGATCCTACTATTTAGGGTACCAGATTAGGGTGCCCTATTTTCGGAAACCCCCAAATTCAGGATTCAAAGTCACTTAGTTGCTGTGTATAATTTCAGTTTTATAGTGGCCAATAACATCCCAAAAAGTGTAACGAGTGTCCACTCAGCTATTAAGTTCAGGATGTAGCACTGGGAGTTTGGAGACTTGCTGCGACTCTCCTTAGCTCCACCCCGAAAACCCCAGAACCATGTCCCAAACACACTTTTAAGCTTGAAACACTCCATACTCCAAGTGAAGGTTCAGTTTTGAGCACAGAGCCAGCATTCTTGATGTTCAAACCAGAACTCGGGCTATCAAAGCAAGCTCGGCAGGGGTCCCCATGGCAATGGCAAACCGACTCGTTATAGCCATGTCGGGAACAAAAGTAACAACAGCATCAAAATGCTTCCATGGGTTAAAGCAGTAAAAGCCTTATAGTTTGTTTACCACTTTTCCCCTGCTGCAGCAGCAATTATGTAAGAGTCGAGCATAGTTAATACATACTTTAGATGCTGGGTCGAGGGTAGTTTAATGGGTACTGAAACTGATGAATCATGATATATGTTTGGCTTCAAGCAAGTACATTACGAGGGAGTTTCCACCAGTTAAACCGTAGTACTGAGGGTACATGTAAAGACCATTCTCAGTCGCATGATTCTTTGGGGAGCACCCTCAACCCCAAATTAAAATACCTTCACCTGACTAGACCATACCTGGAATCTGTAGACCTATAGCCTATAGCCATTACCTTGAAGTGCCCATTGTGCTACGATCCGAACCTTGGGCCTAAGCCTCAGGTGCGACAAACCTTCAAGCCCTCGTCCCTCCGTTGAGCTACATAATCCACTGCTTTGTAGAACCCTTATTGATTTCATGTTGCGTGAAGCCTAGCAAAGCCGAACTGGGACCGACCGATGTACGCGACTGTAAGGGGGAGTCAGGGAACAACTGTATATGAGCTGTGGCCCGGATCAACGCCAAAATCCGAAATGCTAGGACTACTGCCGCGGCGGCCGTTGGCAACCTTATGGGAAAAAAGAGGAGCTACAAGCATATCATAAGGAGCTACAAAAAAACAAAAGCAGGTTACGGTAGTTTATGGTAATCCTGAAGACCAGGTGGCTCGCATCCGACACCGTCTCTGGCTGGGCGAGCGCCGCTCGAGCGGGCGCCAGGGCTTGTCGGATTGAGCGCGAGCTCTTCAAGGCAATGGCGGCCTTGATGTTTTCGGGAAGCGAATAGGGATTGAGGTTTAGGGAGTGCATGGGGTTTACGCTCTCGCACTCGGGATCGCCAGGTGAGGTCTCTAGGTTCGCAGTCCGGACTAACTTGGCAAGCGGTGCATGTGCTCACAAACCATCATCAAAACTATGGGGTTTAGGGTTCCTGTGGCTGTGGAGTGTAGGAATTCGTCTATACTCTGGAACAACTCACGGGCACTGGCGTGACGTGATCACAGATAGGAGCTTCACGACACAAAATTTGCTTTCCGGAAAAAAACCCTCATCGCGGGCTACACTAGCCAATGTTCCAATATTCCATGCTCCCAATGCTAGAATCTCAGGGAGTCTGTTGAGGACAAGCCAGAAATCTGCCAACCCTCAACCCTTCCGAACCCTAAAAACACTATAGTTAAGCCCTGAAACAACCCTAAACCCTAGACCCTGAACTTTAAACCCTAACTAATCCTGGCGTTGAAAAAACTCCAAACCCGACCCTTGCCTGAAGCATCTTCTCCGCAGTCTGGGCGGTTACCGCTGGCTTTGCTCCCGCCTTAGCACCTAGACGGATGGAAGGTTGAAGTAGGGGTTTAGGGGTTTTGGGTTTTGGGGTTTAGGGGGTTTGGGGGGTAGTTTAGGGTTTTAGGGTGTATAGCAGAAGCCAACAAAGTTGGGAACATCAGTATCCTCATGCCCTTAAGCTAAAGTATAGGGGATCCCAGCACCAATCATCTTCCAATCACTATAAGGGTCTAGGATCTACCAGGTTTGAGGATCTAGGGATTCAAGGCGATGGTCTACGGGCTGAGGACTTAGGATCTAGGCAGGGGGTTGTGTTGTCGGGACGTTTCGTCTAGAGGTTTTCGGTGGTTCTACAGTTTCCAAAGCCCTGAAACCCAAAAGACCTGAACCCCTAAAACCCCCAGAGCTAAAAGACTACCCTGATAAAACAAGCTTACTAAAGTACCCAAAAACTGAGAAACAAAAGGAACTTGCTACCATCAAAGAGGATGAATTTTGACACTCAGTCTCGGACAAAGCCTGGCAAGGTCTGCAGAAGTAGGTACGACGAGTCACGTTATCAACCTAGCAAGCGTTTAGGGTTTAGGGTTTAGGGTTTAGGGTTTTTGCCGGCCTGGGCTAGGAGTTGGAGTTCCGCGGGCTTTGGCGGTGCTGGTCGCGCCTCGCAGAAACAGCTCAGCAGGTGTAATCACTGAGGTTTATCGGATTCGGGTGCATTCTTTACGTCTTCAAGTTGATTATGACTGACGGTCCACAGGGTTTAGTTCGCAGGCCTTGGTAGAAGCTATTCAGGGTTTTCTCGTTTATGGGGTTTAGGACCCATAGGGCTGAGGGTGTAGAGGCTGAGGTATGAAGCTCTATAAGCCAAGTCCGGGAGCATCTCAAGTGCCTTGGACTTTGAATGGGCTTACTGAGGTGTTGATGCCCTGGTAGCTTGTAATAGGGTTCGAGAAAGGTTCACCTACAGTGTCCATTACGGCTCCATTTTTGGTTACATGGTGATGAAATGTGATTACTACAGGGCGCAATGAAGTTGGCTAGCCATGAAAAAGGGAGTTGCAACAGAAACTAATGGTAGAGTCATAAGGGTGGGCTCGCCGGAAAGATATTTGAAGATTCAGGACTGAAAGGGTGTTGGCTGGCTTTGAGGGGGATATGAACTGAGACTCTCGGAGTCAAGCCGGAAGCAAAGGCTTGAAGCCTTGCTCCGGGTGCCGGGTCTGCCCGGACCTTGGACCTCAAAACCGAAAAAACGAAACGAGAGCTCTACAAATTCCCAAATCTGTAGGGTTCCTACATCCTAAACTCTCTTGGATCCTAAACTCTCTTGGATCCTAAAAACCCGACCTCGCAAGGGTTCGGTGTTCTTGTTGGGATCCTCAGACCGGGCACTGCAGAGACCTACAGTAGAAGCCAGAAAGTTGGAACATGGCTTTAGGAGGATTAGTGCTAGGATCCCTTATACTTTACCTTAAGGGCATGAGGAGTCTGATGTTCCAACTTTCTGGCTTCTACTATAATAAGAAGACCCAGGGGCTCTGCTCAGAAGATTCTGCACGCTCCCAAAGCAAATACCTACAGTAAGCCCCATAAAGTTGGAAACCGGATTAAGGCCAAATAGTGCTGGGATTCCCTATACAGTACTCTTAAGGATAGAGGCTATGAGGTTTCCAGCTTTTGGGCTTCTACCTAGTAACAGGGGCTCTGGCAGTTAGAATAGGGTTCCTTTAGCGTGTGACTGTAAGGGTTGATTGGCTTAGTTGGTTTGAGGGTATACGGTATAGTGGTACCTACTTGCATGCAACCCCACAAGGAACAACACACCAAGGAGGAGATTCGGAGGACCCCAGCTAACCCCTTACAAACACCTCTGGAAGTATTTTAGGAACTCTTAGAAGGAGCCTTTTACACCCTTTCAGCACGGGCTTTGCATGTATGCCGGCAAGTTTGGCGGCTCTAAACCCCGAACTCTTAAATCAACTCAAATATAGACCTTAGTATAGAACCCGAAAATACCCTTCAAGGTTTGCTTTAACCCTATACCCTGAACCCTAGACCCCATAGAACCCGAAAGTGCCCTTCAAGGTTTGAGCTTGCCTGCTTTGGCATTCGCGGGCAGCTGCCTCTTCTGCTCGCGCTGCAACGGCGACACAGGGCTCGCTGACTTGGCCTGGGTTTAGGGGTTCCTTAAAGGGAAGCCTGGAAGGGATCTATAGGGGTTCCTTTGAGGGGTCGTTTATGGGTTCTATATACCAAGACGGTTTCGGGCTAACTTGGCCTCAGATTGCTGCCGGCTTCTGGCTTCTTCCAAGCGGTTTAGAATGTAGGGTTTAGGAGTGTCTTTAGCGATGTTCTAAAGAGTTGGGTCTTTACCTATAGTCTCCATTGTAGTTCCTTTTTTTGGATATCCAGTTTTATGGTTAGGATCCTATAATAGAGATTTTGGTTAACCAAAAAGAGGAACTACAAAGGAGACTATAGGTATAGGGCTTTAAGGATTACTGAAAGGGCTCTTTCGGCTTCAGGCTTCGGGGAATTTGCTTCGAGAAAAAGATTTCGGGCTCAGGGTTCAGGGCTGGTAGACCTAGGGGCACTCTACCTAGACCCTCCATCTACCCTCTATTAGACCCTAAATGTCCATTATTTGGGGCCATATACCCCTATTTGAGGGCACAAGGAGGGTCCTGGTATAGGATCTAGAGACTGGCTGCTTCGGTTCTCCGTCTTTGTATGTGCTTGATGGCTGGGCCGGAATTGAAAGGAAGTTGTTCGGCTTTAGGATGTGCCAGTTAGGGCCCAGATAAGGTGAAATCAAAGGCCTTGTAGCTATGGACCTGCACTCTCTTCCGGAGCAGGATCCGTCCACTGAAATTCCGAGAACGGGGGTAACATATGGAAGTTTCCGAAAATAGGGGACTCATATGCAGTACCCTAAATAGTAGGATCCTTACTATCAGGACCCCAAAATAAGGTACCCCTAACTCCTAACTTTCGGAAACTCCCATACTGCCTTGAATAAGAACTCCAGAATCCGCCGGCTCCAGAATCCTTCAACGCACTAAGCCGAAACCTCGACCCCTGGGACCCTTAATGGGACCCCTGCCCTAGAATGGGCTACATAATGGGTATATAATGGCTATATGGGAGTTTCCGAGAATTAGGGGTGCCTTATTTTGGTGCCTTATATTAAGGATCCTACTGGTTAGGGTACTATATTCGGGTCCCCTATTTTCGGAAACTCCCATATCAAGGGTATATACCTAGGAGTCACCAACGCTCAACCCACGAACCGACAAGCCAACTAAGCGACTCCGATGACAGAAGCAGGCACCCCAGGCTGTTGTATACATCAATAGCTGTTACTGTTAAACTGATGCTTCCCCTACAGGCTCGTCCAGCAAAAGCACTAAACTCACTGCTTCGGGACAAGTCGCATGAGGACTCGCCGACGGTCGCGAGACCTTGGGTGGTGCCAGCCCGCGACCTGATGCTTGAACTTTGAGGCTTGTTCAATGTAAGGATTGCCATGAGAGGTGCCATAAGGGTTTATTATAAGGGTACTATAGGGTTTACGCTTTGTAAGAAGTGCTTTAGGGACAAAGCACATGGCACCTGGACCCTCAGGGGTCGTTGATTGCCAGCACCCCGCAACTCCTTAACCCCGAGTCCAATTAAATGCCAGCAACCCCCCAAAAACCCAAAACACTCTTAACCCAGGAAGAGCCCTATCACTCTAAAAGTCTAAACTCCACAACCCCAGATCCGCAACCTTCGAAGATGCAAACCCTAAAACCCTTACGTCTTTAACCTTCAAACCCTTGAAGTCTATAGACCCTATGAAGCCCAAAACCTCGAAAGGTTGCGAGGCCCAAAAAGGCATATACTATATGAGCACATGGGCCCTTTAAGGGAACCCTACTATAGGACCCTATGGTACCCTTAAAGGGGAACCCTATTTTAGAAAGGCTGCGAGGCCCTGCCTGTGGTGCCCTCCCACGATCGCCCTCGCGGCTGGTCTTTGGGAACTGCCAGGCCACCACCACCTTTGTCCAGCTTCACATTTATAGGGTTTAGGATTTACGCTTTGGGGATTTAGGGTTGAGGGATGAGTTTAAAATAGATAAGAGGTTTTCACGAGATTCTATATGTTCTGTACTACAGGTTTTCGATGGGTGGGGGTTTGGAGGCTTTAAGGTGGATGGTAGGGCATGCAGATAGAAGGGTTGGGGCTAAGTGTGTAGGGCTTACAGGTAGATTTGCCACATTAAAAATGAAACAGCTGCGCATGCAGATAGAAGGGTTGGGGCTAAGTGTGTAGGGCTTACAGGTAGATTTGCCACATTAAAAATGAAACAGCTGCGCATTCAGTAGCAAAATGGGGCCGGGATTCATACTTTGTAGGATCTCGAACTAAGAGCGGCAGGGCATAGAAGTTTGTAAATGTTATGTGTATCGGCTCGGTGCTTCTAAGGGCTTGGGACGTGGGGCATAACATAGGGGCCTTAATGATTAGACTAGGCTTTCTGGGGCCCCCTTATAATAATAATACTATAGTTATAATCAGGAGCCCCCCCCAAAAACAGCAGAATAGTGACTATTAAGGCCGCTATATTACAGTCCTCCAAGTCTCGGGATCAATATCCACAACATGCCTAAAAGCCTCGTAACTCTTATACTTATGACAGACACAAAACACAGAGCATGTTTCGCAACCACAATAGAGTAACCCTCGAACTTTCTCAAAAATCGTACACCACAGAGCAATATTCGCAACTATGTTTCAGTAACCCTGGAACTTTCTCAAAAAACGAAGCCGAAAGCAAAGATCCTTCGGAGAAGCGGGGTTGAACTCTCTCGCGCCCGAAGCCGAAGCTCCCCCTGACCGCTCTTTAGCGGTAAAGCCCTGACGAAGAAAGAACAGGGCTTACTTAAACCCCCTGAAGTAGGTAAAATAGTGGCCCAATTCCCCTAAAAGGCTATTATTCTACATACCTTTGGGGTCCATAGGGTTTAGGGTAAACGTGCCTGGCCCCTGTCGTCCCCGCGCAGGCGTCGGGGTTGGCTCGGGCAGGGCGGCAGAGAAGACGAAGCCGCGGGACGGGTCTGGAGGAAGGTTCGCGCACAGGTATTGGGGTTGAGGGCGTATTTGGGGGAAGAAGGGCCCCTAAACCCTAAACCCCTTTTTAAGCACGGACTTGCAGTGTATATCCCTTAACCCTAGGTTTAGGAAGCAAGGGGTTTGGGGCCAGAGATATGGGCCGAAGGTTGATGGTGTTTTGCTGGCCCCGGACCGACGGATTAAGGTTATGAAAGGGGCTTAATGGCTTAGTTACTCATCGGACATCCGACCTGGACACTAAGAAACCTACGTTTTGAGGGTCTCCTTGTTATCATTTCCGTTCGTTCGTGAACAACTGGAGACTTCGCTTATGGCCCCCACCTCCTCAAGCCCAGGCAAGTACCCGTTAAAGGGATCTCACACTCGTCATGCAGATGTGATCAGGGGTCGAAGGGTAGTTGAGGGGTCGAGGTGAGCCCGCGAAACCTAATCTTTCTTCAGAACCATACTATCCCGAACTCTCGGCTCCTGTTCGCTGAACTTCATCAGTGCAGGGTTGAGGCTGCCGGGAGTTGACAAGGCTTTGGGATTGAAGGTTCAGCCTTTGGGCTGTTGGCTCACATCAGCCATGCAAGGATCCCCATGGAGCAGTGGCAATCAAAGGCAAGAGCTGGTGTAACCCTGTAAGGTCCGAGTCCACGATAAGCATATACTCCCAAAAAAAACGCCAAGCTACGTTTCCACGACCTTAAAACCCATCTGAATGCAGGGGGCACCTGTAGGCCCTAGTCCGAACCTACGGCTTAAGGGGTTCTGGGTTTAGGGGCTAATTTAGGGAAACCTTAAATCATGGAAGCCTCAAAGTGAGGAGCCCTGAATGAAATGCCCCCAGCCGGGCTGCTTTCGTTTGCGGGCTCGTCGCTCATGCAGAGGCGCTTCAGAGGGCTCTCGCTCATGTACAAGCTAGGAACACCAAAGAGGCCCCTTGAGAACCCAGCCCTGATCTACTGCTGTAGTCGGAAAGCAAGACAATCAAGATAATGACCCTGGAATGGTGGTTGGGTCTTCTGGCCACTGAGACTCTTCTATCATGAGCCTTGTCTTGAGAAATGGAGACTCCTGACAGATCCATAAGGTGAACACTGAGAAGCCCTTCCAAACCCTTTGAACCAGACTGATAACACAAACCTGCCTTGTTGAGCCCGCGCTGCAAAAGGAACGGCAAGATTCAACCGAGGGGGGACCTAAACACCCTTTTTTGCTGCAGGCTTGCTTGCAAGGAAAACCCTGAGCCCTAAACTAAACCCTAAACGCTAAACTCTAAAAGGCCCAAGAGCCTTTGACTTCCCATCGAGGCAGGCTGGACCCGAAAGCTAAACAGAAACCCTGAGCACAAATCCTAAAGGCTCTGAGCCCTATATAGAATGAAGACTTTTGGGTAGTGAACTTAAGATGCCAGGCTGAGTTCCTTGAAGACGGTTGGGCTTGTGAAACTCTAATTCAGGATGTCGGGTTTTGTGCTTTAGGCTTTATGGTTGAGCTCGTGCGTGTTTCTGCGAACAAGCAGCCTCAGGATGTAGGAAGGTTTCAGTTCATGGTGTCTGGGTCTTCTCGGTTTGGAGGGGTTATAGTTGTTATTTTTTAGGGTGCTGCAGAGGGACTTCAACAGTTGGAGTCGGGATTCGGGACAGCTCAGGCGTTAGACCTCCCCAGTAAGCCTTTCGAAAAACAGGCTGGGTGCCTCTAAGTGTGGGGAATTTTGGACTTCAAGTCGTGGTATTTCGGGTACAGGGTGTGTTTCTTTGGGGCGGTGTGGGGAGGGAAGACTTTCAGAACATGCCCGAACCTGAACTGCAACCTGCCGCTATGGCAAACCCGACATCGCTTCCCTCCAAACTCCCGGGAGGATCCAAAAAGTAGATCCCTTAATGGGGGCTCCTATGAAGCACCCTTAGTAGTATAGGGTCCCGAATTAGCGTCTGGGTCCAAACCCCAGAACCCATTTCACCAACAAAGCTCAGCTTCCGCATCGCTGCCTCCGGCAGGGGTACCCGCACTTCCAAGCCAACTGCCTGAAACGACGTTTCGGGCTTTGGGTTTAAGGTTTCGGGTCGAAGGGTTTAAAGCTGAGGGTTTAAGCTTTAAAGCTGAGGAGCAGGGAGTTGTTGCATAGGGGCCTTGGGGTGTGAAGGGTTTGGGGCATCTTGGCATGCAATGAAGTCGGAATTCTCAATCGGTACACAAATTCTTATGTGAGGTTGTGGGCTGCTTATACTAATATTCATAATTCTAACGCCAAAACTACCCAAAACTCTAAACCCTAAGCCCTAAACCCCGAACTGCAACCAATACTAAGACTTCTTCCGACCTTCATATCCTCGAGTTGTCGGGCTAAGGGCCTCGGAAGGCCTCAAGAATTCTTTAAGACCTTAAAAAATTAGAACATGGTATTATTGGGCTACAGTATAGTATGGATATCTAGTGATCTCGGGACAAGGGAAACCGACATGAGAGGTTTAGGTCTTCATGGTGTGGAGCCTATTTGGGCTTCTGGCATATACGGGTTACGGAAGTTGCTAATATAGGGGCCTTAGCAACATAGGGTTTTTGGGGCCCAGTATACTATAATGGGCTTAGAAGGTTTGAGGTATGTGCAACCTCTTGGGTGCTTTGGGGGTTGCTTGCACCTGGGTCCGGGGATCTGGTTGTTACCGTCTACCTGGGCCACAAAAATATGTAGAATAATAGCCTTTTATGTGTATTGGGCCATTATTTTACCTACCTTGGGGGGTCTAGGTAGAGGAAACAAGGGCATGAGGATGGCATTTCGTGGTCTTGTTCGGGCGGTGTCAAGGCATTTCTGCTCACGAAAACGCTCCGAACCACGCATAATAAGTCCTCGAAAAGAACCTTCCTGGTGAGTCTGCGGGATATATAGGCTTCCGAGCTCATCTTCTGGGCAACTAGATGCAACGAGGAATGATCCAGGGCCCCGAGCCTGAACAACGAAACCCTCTGCTGAAGAAGCATCAGGGGCTGAAGCCCAGAATGCCGGATGATTCCATGTCAGGGAATAGGCAACATTGCCTCGACCCTCGGAACACCCCCCCCCTTCAAAAAGCACGAATTCACACACACACACAAACTCAACTTAATCACCAGGAGCTTAAGCTCAAAATCCTCTACGGTGTACCCTGAACCAGTTAGGCTCAAGGCAACTACCAATCCACCTGCCAAGCCCAGCCCTAAACCCTTCTAACCCCCGAGCCCTCCAAACCCGATGAACCCAGATCGGAAGCACTTCGCCAGAAAGCTTAACCGCCAAAATGTGGAACCTGTGTATGTCTACATAAGCCACAATCGAAACCCCGAAAAAAGCGGTTCTCCCAAGGAGCAAGCATTGCCTCGTCAAAGGGTCGCAAGGCCTGGGGGAGATCGGAGTTTAGAGTCTCGGGATCGGATGGTGGATTCTGGGAGGATTCGAGGATGTTCGATCGTCTAACGGGTGATCCAGGAACAGCGGAAGCCCTAAGCCCGAACCCCCAACACCCTAAACCTAGTCCAGTTGTAGTTGGGACCTGTATGCACAGCCTCTTGGAAATTGGGCAGTTCTACAAAGCATTACAAAACAAAACAATATGACGGGCAATTTCCAGGGTTCTACATCGAATCTCTACCCTTTACGCCTCGCAGACCCCAAACACGCGGTGTTTAAATCACGCTTAAGTTTCTGCTCGTCAACCCGGCACCCTCAGTTCTCAAGAAAAGCAAACCCAGAAGACTTAGCCGCCTTGAATCCTTGGCCGGTCTTGCTCTCTGGGCGATGGGCGACTCGGGCGGCGTGGAGGAACATGCGGGGCACCCTGCGCACCAATGGCGTTTTGCTTCCCATTAGAGGAAGTTCGGGGGTCAGGGCTGAGTTTAAGCTATTGAAAGAATTCTATGTCCGACTCGCCTCGAAGGCTTCCTCCTCACAGCACCAGGTTCCACCCAGCCGGTTTAGGGTTTAGCCCCACGAATCTGAACAGCGCTCTCAAACATGGACTTCAATTACGAGATTCGGTGAGTTAGAGCGCAAGACAGCACACATCACACCCGAACGCGGGATCAAGGGCGTGCCGTCTCCTGAGCCCTGAACGAACAGAGGGTGAGAGACTGAGTATCGGGGCACGGCATTGGGGTTCAGGTTCTGCGTTCTGGGTGTTGGGTCGACTATTGAATATGGGGATGTCAGCAAACTTGCAGAGCAACTGCATGCTGATGCTCCTGTGAACCAGTGGGAAGTGGTTGAACACAGCCCCGGGTTTCAGCGCACTAGAAGACAAGGTACTTGGGACTACTCCACTCCTTGACTCTCATTAGTAAATCGAACGTCATGCGGGTTTAGGTGCAAGTTTTGCAACTTGAACTCGCGAACCACCCTTCTGTCTGAAGCATGTCCTTGACTCCAAGATACACAGTACGTGCGGCCGTTGCAATCATGTTCGGCGATCAAACCCTGTGGACTTTATAGTAAGTATCGAATATATGAACCCTTCTTCGCAAACCACGGGTTTTTGGGGTCCCCAAAACGCCCGTGAAGACTGTGCAAAGCCTAATACTACACAAAAGTTACACGTCTGCCTCTCACCGTACCCTCATTGCAGCAAAGTGGGGCACATCCGCAATTTTCAGCATAACTTAGTATCCCAACTGTGGCTATCCAAAAGTGTAACCCTAGCTACCAAGTCGGAAGAGCTTAGTTACCAGCCTAGTCATTCCTGCCCTCTCCCTGTGTCCCCGCCAGGCAGGATCACTTCCGCCATATGTCGGGTCGCCAACTAGCGGGTGTCCTGCAAGAGTGAGCATTTCGAAAACCTAGAACGCCGCAGCGCCGTCTGTTGAATCCGCCGAAACACAGAATCTCAGATCCGAAACCCCGCATGAACGCGTACTTCCTACTGCTACCTACGGATCACGGAGATGAGCTTCGAGTGAGAGGACAATGCCATCGCTAGCGATCACAATTGACAACAACGCCGATAGCCCGACTGTAACACTGCAACGCACAGCCGGCTGTCATCCATAGATGCTGTGCTGGGAAATGGGAGACCAAACCTTTAGGAATAGTTGCAAGATGTTGCAAGGCTGGGCTGGCCCAAGATCACAGCGTGCGAACTCCTTAGACAACAAACGTCAAACCCGCAACACCAATCCTCGAACAACCTCGGAGCCTTCGCGACCAGGCGAAAGACTATCCGATGAAGCTACAAACGAACATACGGACCCCAAATTGCCATGAGTTCCATGGTTTCGGGTCAAGGGCAATGCACGTGTTAAAAGCTATGACTATGATGAAATAGGACAGATCCTGCGCTGCAGCTATACCTCAAGCCTTAAGCTTTTAGATGTGCTTCACTGGGTGCTTATGTCTAGCTGCAGGCGTTTCCGCTGTAAGACCCGTAACCGATTGGGACAGTCGACCGGTCCAGCACTTCGACCTAGGTAGAAAACATGTTGTCGACAAGCCAGAATTGGAAGAGGTTTAGGGTTTAGGCAAGCTGGGGAGAAAGAATACAGCGGTGAGCATATACAAGGTTTGGAATGTATTGGCGCTTGGAGTTCTGTATTTTTGTAGCAGTACTATAGGCTTAGGTTGAGAGTTTAAGGCCTTGTGATTTAGATCCATGCAGGAACCCCCAATGGTTGCTGGTTGTTCTCGCAGTCAGGTCGTGACTATGGACACAAGGTAGGTCCTGAGTGGCTCATGTGTACGCGGATCTGGTGCAAGCGCCCCGTGTAGATGCGCACCTGCACCGGAAACTGTTTCCTTGCGTAGCACCTTGTCCTTCTCATACTGCTGCCCAATTTTGTTTGGTAAGTAAGACCCTAATGGCTATGTGACCCAAAACCAAAAACAACCCAAAACCCTCAAACCCTGAACCCTAAACGCCTAAGCCGTGAACCAGCTATATGCATGCAACCCCCGAGCTCTCCAAACAAACCTGCATTGTCAGCCGTCATCTGCTGAGACTGCCTCGCTCCAAGACGATGAAATGATAAGTTTGGGGCCTTTTACGTTTTAGGGGCCGGAGTCTTAAGAGGTAGTTTAGTTTCTCCTCCTGAAGAGATTTTTTGCCACCCGCCCAGCTGAAACAAGTCGCACCGCAGGGAACTCGTCCGAAGAGATTATAAGGGTTTAGAAGTTTAGATTCAAGGGTCGTGGAACTAGAAGGGCGCGCGTCTTTAGACGGAAGCACAAAACATCTGCATCAACATGTGGCTCCTCTTGAAACCGAAACCGTAACAAACCTGCACTACATGGAGGATTCGGGGAATTAGCTCGGATCGCATGCTTGCCCATGTTTGAGGGTCCTTCGACTTGGCATGTACCAGCTTATAAGCCGGTGCTGGTCAAGAGAATCGCAGTGTGGGTGACTAGACAAGCTCAAAAATAATAGTACCGACTTACTGGACGTAGAGTACCCGAAGCCATATGACCAGATATAAACAACTTTCTGGTACTCCTCTCCGAGGATAAACGCTCCCAAGAATGTGCACAAAGATGTATTTGTAAATGTAGAAATACTATGGAAACCATCTTTTCATGACTGGCCCCGCCTGCACCAAGCTCATTCGCTCGCCTGAGATGTGAGCGTCTTGCTCTTTCTCGTGAGTGGTGAAAGGCAGTAAAAGGGCATACCTCAATCCCGCAAGAGGTATGTAAATCAATGACCCAACATGTATAAAACGGCTCGGCTAGTCTTGAACATGCTTTTGGGGTCAAAGTACCTGCCATATGGGGGCCTGCGGTTTCAAGTCTTTAACAGCACCGCAAGTAGGGAGATCAAGTTTTTCTCAGCCAATGAAAGGGCGCTGCGATGCAAACCAGATTTAAACCATGACACGACTAGGGACTCGGGTCATCTAGAGCCTGCCTATCAGACATTCAAAATCCTCCTGCATCCAGCCCCCCTGACGACCAGATTCGCACGGGCGTCGAGGACTCAGAGCCACACAGCACGACAGGTTGAAAAGGTCACCGAGGACTACTTACCAAGGAGTGTGAGACCCGCTAAGCCCCTGATGGAAATTTCAGAAGCGCAACAGGTCGACAATAACGCCAGTCTTCACCATGTACTTCTCAACCCTCAAACCAGAAATCTTGGACCTGGTGACAACATGTCTTCTCGACTGCCAGCAATTTCGACCCGCAACAGCTAGATTTATCAACAGCTCTTGGGTGTATACCATATACCGACAGGAAACGCATTTCCTAAGGAACACGCACTTCAGACCATGACCAGAAAGCTGGTTCACTGAACCCTGAAACACTAAACCCCTTTTGCAGCTGGGCCCCCTAAACCCTGAACCCCCCATGCCCCCAAATCCTAAATCTGAACCCTTAAACCACCGAACCATAAGCCTCGGGAGCTTAAAGACTGAGGCAGTGTCCATTCGGCGACAGCGCATGGGCCTGAACTCTGCTGAGAACTCCATACCACTCCAAGCTTTTGGCTTTTTGAAGTGTAGTACCCTTTCTTGTTAATGCATTAAGTGTAGTATAAGAGATAGTTAGCAGTTAGCAGAGGGAGCAGCTTAGCCACGTGGCAGAACTGATTATACACTTTCTGTGAACGCCTCCCAAACTGCAGCAACAGCAGCTCGGGCTTTGGGGGCCGAGGCAATACAAAAAGCGAATCCAGGCGAAGAGGTTGTGACCAAGGGTTTAGGGTTTAGGGTTTAGGATGGTTTAGGGTTTAGGGTATTGTTGGCTCAACAAAACCGATAGTTCTCACAATAGGTAATCGTGTTACATGTCGTGATGACAGCCGCATGGAACCGAGGGTACCAAAAAGCAAACTCAGTCCGGCGCTACGTGGAGGATCTCCGTCATGGCCTCCCAATGCGTTGATACGTCAGTGCAAGCTTCAGGGTTAGCAGCTAGGGCCAAAGGTCACACTCCACGATGCGCAAGATATAAAGCTTTAGGGCAGAATTGCAGAGGGCTCAGGATTGACGTCTGGCATTTAGAGCTAGGAGTGACGCAGGGTTAAGTTTCAGAGCTAAGGCGTTGGGCGTCCAAGCAACTTTGCAAGAAGGGCTACATAAACATCACCGTCGGCCGATATCGCCATGAGCCAGCATGAACTCCCAAATGGTCATACGAGTCTGCAAAAACGAAGCTTATATCCAAGGACCTGCGATCTTAAGACTGAAAACCCTCAAACCAGAAATTCCTAAACACCAAACCCTTAACATCAAACCCTTTAGACTAAGCCCCTAAGCCCAAACCCCAGACCACAAGTGCTTTGGACGAGAATGCCAACATACCCCTACAACAGTGTCAACCCCACACGGTAGCATACAACTACAAGGCATGTACCCTAAATCACCTCAAACCTATGGGATTCTGAATGACTACGTTCCCTGTTTTTGCTTGCAGCAAGCTCCGCTCGCCTCCTACCTTAACACCATCACCCTAAACCCTGAACCCTATACACCCTGAACCCCATAAGCCGTATAAGCCCTAAACTCAATACCCTATAATATACCCCATAAGCCCTATAAGCGCTATAAGCCCTAAACCCTGAACCTCGGGTCTGAAACGAGAGTGCAACACCCATTGCCGCAAGTCAAAGAACTGCCCACAATGACATTCGCATATGGAAGTTTCCGAAAACCAGGGGTACCTTATTGTGGGGACCTTATAATAAGGCTCCTACTATTTGGGGTACTATATTAGGGTCCCCTATTTTCGGAAACTCCCATTTTTGCAGGGTTTTGATATCAACGCTCGTTAGCATTCATACGGCATGAAGACCGTGCGAGAGTAATGAGCTGGGTTATGATGGGTGGTAGTTTCATTCAGTCCACACTAAAAACCCTAGAGTCCAAAATCTTGTTGAACACGGTGCTTTCTTCATTGCCCGGAAAAAGCATCTCACGAGTCCTGAATCCTGAACCCCCTGAGCCCCTATCGGAACAACACTACGGTTGACGACGACAGGAAGCTAGACGAGTATAGCATAGCCTACTCTACTCCAGTCTAGTCTAGCGCTCCCAGGTGTAGCCTAGTAGTAATATATATACATATATATATCTCGCATTTCTCGCATTTCGGGCGTAGACTCCATGTTGGTTGCAGCCCTTTGAGCTTGCATTAATTAGAGCGGAGTGAAACGTTGGAGCAATTGAAGGGCTGCTGGATGTGCGATGACGTGTGTGCCAGTCCGATGGTGACGAAGCACACCGGGCAGTGCAGAAATCGCCTGCAAGTCGAGTTCAGCCGACTCATGTCCAATGAGAAGGCAGGCAACACCCAGTAACGAGAGACGGAGAAAGAATCTTGTCAAGTCGCCAGCAAAGACGGCAGCAGTGCGCATGTCTTGTTGCGTGTGCGGCTTGGACCAGGAGTGGTCAGGCATACCAAGGGTCGGGAGACCCCTGGTATCAAGAACAAAAGCAACTCCATCAAACGGCCCTTCAAAGAAGACGAGTGGAACACCCTGTCTTATCAGGTGAAGACACTCGGTGTGGTCATACACAATGACATTGTCTCCGTCGTCTGAGTTAGGACATGTCTGGCCATCCCGTCTAACCCATATCACCGGAGCATTTGGGTCAAGCGGCTCTGGCGGTCTAACACAGACAGGAGCTAAATCGAGCATACTCAAGACCTTGTCGGAGTCTCGAAGCGAGTTGGCAAGAATCGGTTGGTCAGAGGCGTGCGGGATGAGCCATTGGATCAAGTCGGCCGCCCCTAACCAGTCGGCAAACTCACGTAGCCGGCGGTGCCCATTAGCAGTAGCAAGCATGCGCTGCCAAGCGACCACAGTAGCACGGAGCCGATCGGTGGGCGCGCAGACACACGAGAAGGCTGTGCGGATCCGTTGCCAGAGGTCACTGTCAGTGGCGTTTGCGACCTCTCCATCGAAGTCCAGGAGCTGGAGACACTCCCAGATTTCAGCGACAGGGCACATGTCCAGCATGTCCGTTGACACGCTCGGGAAGCTAAGGCACGGCCCTTCAGCAGGCAACGCTGGGCATAATCCAGCATGAATGTCGTCGTTCTTGCGGCTACCGACACCTGGCACAACCGTACACGAGTGTCCACTGGCAAGCAGGCGTGTTCTGCAAGACGCGCTGTAACGCAAATGTCGGCAAAGTCGAACATTGCTGGCGTATGTTCGCAGACACGCCTGGCATTGGTGGCCTGTGAGTACTCCACGGCCCTGTGCATGTCTGCCATGTGTCTTGAACGCATGAACAGACCAACATTGGCGAGATTTGAAAATGCGCTGACCGGGTACACATCCGTGTACGGCATCGGCATGATCCAGTGTGGAGCCATGGAGTAAGGCACCATGCCGCTTTAACTGGCGGACAAGGAGGGCATGGTGTTGTTGTAGGTCGGCCTGCCACGCTTCCTGTTGAATTGTGTTCGTCGCGGCCTTGCGCAACAGGCTTTTCCACCTCCCCGGAGACTCTCTAAGGAGAACAACCCAGTGGCTCCAGGCCGTGATCCAATCACGGTGGTGTGTCCCCTTGTCTACAGTTTCCCAAAGCCAAGAAAGGGAGTCTCGTATCGCAGCAAGCCAGTCACCTTCCCAGTGGGCCAGGGCCCACAGTTGGGGGATGCACAGCCGCACAAAGAGAAGAAGGTGTCTGAGGCGATGAATGTGCAGCTGTGCCGGGATGGAAAGCAGGCCAACAAAGGACAGCACCTGAGCTCGGCCGGCATGTAAAGCCGTATCGAAGTCCCATGTGGGTCGACACATGTGGCACGCCATGAGCTCTTGCGCGGAGCTGATTGCTGACAGAGTCTTGGGACTGGGTGAGGGCCAGGTACCTGCCCCGTGCAGCAGCACTGACACAACCAGGGAGTTGTAGAGACTGGCCTTGGCAGTTGTCGGCACAACTGGGGAGCCGAAGACTTGCCTTTTTCTCTTCTGGAAAGCATCATTGGCTTGGGCGACCCTGGCACGAACCTCACGGGAAAGGTCGCCTGCACAGTGAAGCACCCCGCCCAGGTGCTTGTAGCTGGTAACGAGGCGCACTTTGGCCTCCGGCCAGAGGGCAGCTGGAATGTGCAAGACCGGCTCCTTGTCCCTGAAGAGTGAAGCTCTGACCTTCTGTGAACCCTTACCTATGGGCACGAGGATCATCTCAGTCTTCCCCCGCCCCAAGTTAGGGAGCATGGCCCTCGATAGGCAGGCGTCCAGCAACACACTGGTGGCAGTGCGTGCTCTCTCGACGATGCCAGTCGCCGAATCAGACAAGAGCATAAGCGCGAGATCATCCATCCAGGTGGCATCCGTCAGGTCGACGGGCGTGGCAGACTCGCCTGCCTGGGCCGGTTCGACGAAGATGCTGTCGTGCCGGGAGGCCGCTGAGGGAAGTTGTGTGCAGCAGCCCTTGCTCTTGAGTTCTCGTGTCAACTCGGCTAGTACTTGCGAGAAGAGAAACGAAAATATGACGTCTGCACAGTTATCCCCCGGACGACTCCCTATGCCCGTCCGAACTAGTGTTTGTCCAGATCTGAATCTGAACCAAGTGGCGTCAAGGATTTCGGTCATTGAGGCTGCAAGCCATGGCGAAGTGCCGCAATCAGCAAAAATGGACCGTTCTTGTAAGTGTTTGTGCAATGTATGCATAACTCCCGGCGGGAGTTTTACAGTCGCTGCAATTTGTGCGACTGTGGTGTCATCGACCGATGTGCCCGTCAGCAGCGGACGGCATACACGATAGAACGCTTCTTGGAGGTCAAGAAACAGGACAGCAAAGGAGGTCTTGTGCTTTCTGGCTGCAGTGATGAACATCCGAACTGCGTGGGAGACTGCTGTCACTGGGCAGGCAGGCAACCCGCCCAGTTGCAAAGGAGATGCAACCGAAGCAAGCGAAGGCACACATCTAGCTCTGAAAAGTCGATGAAAGGCCTTGCCCGCGGTGGCGGAGATGAGCAGTCCTCGATGCGAAGAACAGAGTGCTGGTGAGCCTTTTCCTTTCCATGCAGCCTGGAGACTCCCTCCTTTGAACTGGATCGGTTCCGCGAGTCTGAGGCTCGTTTTGAGCAAGATGGGATACAGTGCAGACGAGGCCTCAGCAGCAGCAAAGTGGAGGGCTTCGCCCGGCACAAGGTCCAGGCCAGCAGCACGACCGGAGGCGGTATCCCGAAGAGCTTGCTCAAGCTCGATGCGAGTCGGCAGTTCGTGTCTGTTGAGTTCGATGGAATCGAGCTCCCGCTTCAGTTGATTCTGGATGCAACTGGCAGCGAGTTCTTGAGGCGTGACGCGCAGTCCATCCTCAATCCCAGCAAAGTGGTTGATCCAGGCATCTTCGACCTCCTCAGTGGTGGTCGCGGGGAGCCCGTCAGGGCGGAGGACAAGTGGGAGGCCGTTGCGAGTCTTGGCACGACGCTTGGGCGGCCCAAGGATGGGCTTCAAGCGGCGAACAGCCTCCGCAGTAGGGCACCTGGAGGCGGACTCAGCCGTCGCAACGATGTGCCGGACAGTGTCTTGCCTGATGGACTGGCGGAAAATCTGCTTTGTGTTCCGGAGTTGCGAGGCGAATTGCCGCAGCCTTCGCTGTTGTTGCATGGCAGTGAAGATTGAGGAAATGTTGCAAACAGACAATCGGAGACTTCGTCTCCAAGCACGCAGCGGGGCCTATTTGGCTAAGTGGCAGACTATGTCACGGACCCGTACAACCTGGCGGCGGAGCCATGCCCTACGTTGCCTCAGTTGCCAAGTGTGTTCTCCGAAATGAGATGACCTGCAATGGCCTCTTCGGCTGGGGAAGGTCTCAGCTAGGGCACGGTGTAAATAGCGCTCTAAATGTGCCCAATGCCTGTGCACACTCACCTGCCATGGAACTTGGGGCGCCGCCCGCCAAATGGCAGCGAGCGCTTCCTGGCCTTGCTTGGTGCCCATCGCTTCCCGGTCTACCTGGAGTCCGGGCCGGGTCGGTGGCTGTACTGCCCCTGTATACGTGCAGGCGTCGAGCTGAGGCGCAAAGTGGTCAGTGTGTCCCTGCCCCCAGTCAAGTTCGTGCTGCACACAAGAGGCTCCCGGCGCAACTCGCCACGAAACCGGAAGCAAAATGTAGTCTATGCGGGATGATGCTGTGCCATTGGGGGCAACCCACGTGGTGGAAGAGCCGGTGTGCACTTCGGGAAAAGTAGACGGGATCCACAAGTCCTGTGAATGCAGGATGCGAAGGAGGCCGTCTGGTATGCCCCCTTGCCCCGGGATGGTGAGAGAGCCAGCTCTGTGTGGGATGGATTGGGCGAAGTGGGTGTTGAGGTCACCCATGAGCACCACTTCATGGGTTTGTCCGAACTGCTGGAGCCGGTCATATAGGGTGGCCCACCACGTCTCTCGCTGGGAGTCACCAGTGGTGGGGGCATGGACACAGACGAACAAAACCTTGACCCCTCCCCTGGAGAACCTGACGAAGAGTGTCCTGGGGTCAGAAAAAGGAACCAGGAAATCATTGGGATGGAAGAAAAGGTTAGCTGCACGATCCTCAGAGAATGGCAAAAGACGGCTGAACCAGCATTCTACACCGTAGTTGCCTGCGGCATCTTTGCCAGAACAGAATCTCAGATGCGTGTGCGAGGTGACCGTCTCAGAAGCCGCAGCCCTCGTTTCTTGGAGGCACGCAACATGAACCCCCAAGTCGTCAAGCTGCTCCCTCAAAAAGGCTGCACGACCTTTGAAGCCAGCCTGTGCTGAGTTCGACTCATTCGCCTCAGCGAGTGTCTGTACATTGACTGTGAGGAGGCGGAGAGATAAGACCCGGGTGTCCCGGACTGAGCTCTGGGCAGCATCATCCCTAAATCCAAACCAGTGTCTAGCCTCTGCTTCCGTGGGGAGGGAGTCATCGGTGAATCGGTCTCGATCTGCGATGGAGGAGCCCACAGTAGTAGGCCAGAGGCTGGGCAGCCGGGCAATATTGTGAATCAGCCACCACCATTGCACGGTGCCGTCTCGGATAGCCTGGGCTGCACAGAGCTGCGTCGTAGAGAGCGTAGCTGGCGTGGTCCTCTTGAGAAAATGCTTGGCTATGGAGTCGGCAAGCTCATTGCATGGGTGACCTTGGTGGGACCGTACGTGATGGATCTTACCGCTGAAGGCTGCTTGGACGGAGCAGAGGAGTTGTTGAAGGGCTCTGGCTGCCGACGCCAGCCCTTCCGTGGGTTGGAAGCTCCAAATGCCATTTGCCTGCTGAAGGGCGACTAGGCAGTCCGAGTGGAGTTCTAGGCCAACGCTTTTGGGTGCTTGCACACTCCAGAGCAGGGCCCAGACAAGGGCAGAGTATTCCCCCGCAATGGCAGAGTGGCCTGTCGCTCCTATGTAATCTTGACATTGGGTGTCTGTCTGTGTGAACCCGGCATGCCATCCAATGAAGTAAGGTTGGGAGTCGAGCCACCCGAATACAACAAAGGCCCAGGCACTGTCCGTGCCATCGAAAGATCCATCCGTATGCACATCAAGATACTCCATAGGGCCAACGTCAGCAAGGGGCCTTCCTTTGAGGTTGTCATTGCACAGTGCCAACAGCTGTGCTGTGGCCGAGTGAAGCGAGAGGTGGTGGGGAAGGGAGTGTTGAAGCAGGAAGCTTCCATGCGCACAAACTTGCATGACGTTGTCAATATGGCAATTCAAGTCAACGGAGATCCCTGTGAGATCAAAGCAGCGGCTGGCCGGCAGGGAGGAGGCAAGATCGATCACAACCCCTGTCCGGCATGGGGTAGGATCCTCAATGCTCCTGTCCGTGGCACTGGGCACACTGTCTTGTCGAGTATTCGAGTGTCTAGGCTGGCTAACTCCCGCGGAGTGTTCCAGGAGTGTCTCAAGGAGGGTGCAGGTGAGAAACATGGCTTGATTGTCTCCCATCTGCAAGCTTTGCTCCAAGAGAGTTTGCAGGGGGCCATCAACGATGAGATCAGCCGGACATGCTCCAGTGACAGGCCGTAGGCGAAACGACCTGCATGGCGTGGGGACTGGCCGATGTAGGCGAGACCGGTATTGACTGGAATCAATACCATCACAGGTCGGCACGCAGGCTTGGTTTTGGCCGCTGCCGGTATGCGTCCATTCATGACGCTGTGCGCCAGGGTGGCCCGGGTCCAAAAGAGTGTCATGTCCGACAGCAGCAACCGGAGTACAAATCCAGGCAAGAAGGACGACAAAGGTGAGGCCGTTGCGCTGTTGCGAGGTACCAACAAATCCGCTCACAATAATGGCAGTGGGGCAAAGAGGATGCCTTGGCTCCCCAAGCATGCTGCAAGCAAAAAGGAACGCGAAAGCAACAGCAACAGCTTTCCATGACCAGTACCCACAAGGAATTGTCCGTTGCGAGCTGTGTGTCCGATGTGATTTCGGCCTTGGCCCGGTTACAAGGTTATGGGGGCATAACAGAATCTGGTGTCTGCGCTGTGAGCCTCCCGTCCCTGCGTCTGGGCCAGTCGAGGGTGTATCCGAGGGTGCAACATGCGATGCATCACGGCCACTAGGGTGGGAGGAGGACTCCTCTGAATCTCCATCCTGTCCCTCATCCGCTTGTGATGGAGGGGGAGAATCCCCATCATGGCTGTCCGAGCTGGACATGTCAGCCGGCGGCGGGATGAAGAAATGCAGGGTGAGCAGGTCCCCCTCATGTACACGGAGTGGCTCGCATAGCCTATGGACGTCACTCCCACCACTAGAGTAACCAATGACATAACCCGCGGGAACCCTTGGCAGCAGTCTGTCCAAGATGGGTTGAGCTGGCAACACACCTGCAGGCGCATGATACCAGGAGAAGCCAAGTAAGAGAGGCCTTAAGTCGACCAGACAAATCGGAATCCGCCCGTCACGGGAGACGGTGTGCGGTGCTGAAGCCGTCGCAACATACAAGTGTCTAACTGTCCATCCCATATGCGCAAGGTCGATGAGCGGCGGGTTGGCCGGGCACAGACGAAGTGTGTGTGGCGCTGTCACGAGCAGCGTAGCAAGGTCTTGTCTGAAGTGCCTTCGTCGAACAGGCGCTATAGTGAAACAGATTTGTCTGTCGTCTGCTAGGATCCTGGCTCGCTCAGCATAGTCTCCGGGAGGTGTCCACTCGGAGTCCCACCCGTGTGGGTTGCGAAGCCTGGCTGCAAAATCGGAGACGAACGAAGCCTCAGTACCTGCAGGGACAATCTGTACTAAGTCCCCATGATCAAGATGGATAGGGTATGTATCCGGGATTGGCCAGGGCATTGTGCGGACAAAGACATCAAAGTTGACGTCCACATCAACTTCGGCAGCAATGAGGAGCGTACTGCGGGTGACAGTACGCGGCAGTGCAAGACAGAAGACAGCACCGTCAATCTTGCTACAATCGTACATGATGAGGGCTCCCTCCGGCTCCCATGACGGACGGGCAATGAAAAGTGCTGCTTGCTGCCATGGTTGTGGGTAAACCGGGCAAATGACCGGAAATCTGTCTATGTCGGCTGGCCTGCGTGCCGCATTGACAAGGCTTGTGGCCTCAGGCTCAGTGCATCCTACTGAAGTCCGTACCTGTAGCCATTCCGGCAGGCACTCCTGTCCAAAAATGAAGAAGGAGCCATCGATGAAGGCTTGTGTCAGGCCTTCAGCTGTTTGGTGTGCAACGGCAGGAGGCCCGCTATTGCCACCAGTTCCCTCGTCTCCGTCTCTGTTCGGATTAGTTGGCGGGGTGTTGCCGCTGGGGGCAGCTTGGTCCTGCCCAACAGCCCCTGTGGCAGGTCTGGTCTGTTCGGGTGCAACAGGAGGTGCTTGTGTTGGGCTGGCATGTACATAGGGTACCTGAGGGTCCTCCGGTTTGTCAATATGTTTGGCAAGCTGTCCCTGACGAAGCAGAGCGGCATCCCAGATGGGTGCAGCGTGGCCAATATACAGAGTGACGGAGAGCTCCTCAGTAATGGCAGCACGTGAGGACCTGTGCGGAGATCGACTGCGGCGGGTCTCCCTGTGGCCCTCTGCAGATGGGCGGCTGCCAGGTGGGTGCAAATCGTTCTCTTGGACAGACATATCTTCGTCATCGGTGAAGGCCTCGCTCTCATGGCCCTCCTCTGTGGGTGGAGGCCTCTCGGAGGGTTCAGGTGTGGGAACGTAGGAGGCATATATGACTTGTCCTGGCTCTACTCTGCATGCATCAGCACCTGCAGGCAACCACTCAAGGTGGAGACCCGTAGGCATGAAGGTAGTGAGGACAAGTTCTATGTCACTTCTCAGGCAGTGACCATCCCCAGCAATGACGGCGAGCCAGCCTTGGAAGATGGCTCTGCAGTCTACCAACGCAAAAGCAGCCTGTGCTCCTGACGCCTCATGCATCTGTTCATCGATTTCGCCTATGATCCAGGCGTTGTGGCACATATATCCATGCACTGCAATATCTGTGATCGCAGGCACAGCTGGCTGGACCTGTAGAGTTGTCGGCTGCAGGCCGAACAGACGTGCAAGCTCGTCTCTGTCGAAGAGATCAGGGGAGGCCCCTACCTGGCATCTGCGGTGGCCTCCCTCTCCTACGAAGCAGAAGCATCCTTCGATGGGGCCTATGGGGATGGCAGGATTGTCGGCCCACAGGG